TACTATAATAAACTACCAGACTTAAAAAAAAAGCAAAAAAAAAATAGATGACAGTACCAATCAATCAAGCAATCAAGCTATTTTGTGAATGTTGATAAGGAAAATAAACTTGTGACAAACGCAGAAACAAACATATTACCATATACAAACATATAGGTACATGACTCAAGTCAAGCGTTTAGTCCCCTTGTAGATGACTAACACAGCTCTATTCGCCAATCGTTGTTCTCGGTGCCAGTTCGGACACAAAGCAGTCGATTATCTTCAAACACTGCGCAGGGTCAGCTTGATATGGTCGATAGGAGACCTCGCTCTGGTTTCTGGGAGCTGGTCATACGTGAAGAGGTTGTGATGGAAAAACTTGGCGTGTCTTTTTCAAATGACTTAGTTTTCTTAATAATATATTTTACTAGCGACCCGCTCCGGCTTTGCACGGGTGTTAAGTATACATAAAGCTTCCTCTTGAATCACTCTATCTATTAAAAAACCGCATCAAAATCCGTTGCGTAGTTTTCAAGATCTAAGCATACATAGGGACAGGACAGCGGAAAGCGACTTTGTTTTACACTATGTAGTGATAGTAGTAGTTTAGGATACATAGTTTATTGCACTGAATCTCAGGACAAGTAACTAGGTGCTGGATACTGTGTGAATTTTATAATTACTCGTTTATGATGGAGCCCATCTCTACCTATGTAAAGTCGACAATACATAAGTTTTTGTTTTTTGTTTTTAATTTTTGTTTCAAAATAGGCCATAAGATTCACTGGCTAGCTTGATGTGCTATTAATACCATTTAGAATGAACTGGGCTTGCTTTGCTGTCGCTTTGAGGATGCGTCTGTTAAATGATGACGAATCTAAAAGTACATTAAAACAGCTAGTTTTTTATCAATAATGAAAATACTTGAAACTTATCAGAGACTTATTTTGTATAAGAATTTATCAATCTTAGCAAACTATATTTTAAATCTAGTTTTATAACATCTTCAGTCACATGTTTTAAAAATATTCGCAAAATACGGCTTACTTGAGTCATGTCGACATAAGGCATTTGGGAGATCGCTCCTAATTGAGTTACTCTGCGTAGGCGCAGCCTTGCTGACGCTCTATATGGCCGTGTGTAGGATGCATGTGACGTTAGTGGCTGTGTGTAGTGTTTTAACGCGGTTTTAAAATAAAATAGGATTTTGGTTTATGCGTCTGTTGAAGATTTAGACGGACTATTATGACCTTTATAAATGCAAGGATAAAAATATTAGAAGAAACGATTAGAAAGCAAACTGATTGGTACTCAAAAAAGTAACTAAAAAGGTTTGTCTTTTTTGAATTACAAAAAATAACAGTAACTGTATGTTACATACATATTTACACAAATTAAATTGTGTACTCGTACATGTCTGATTCGATCACGCAGGGAAACTCCGAGCATAGCCCGCTCCATCGCCCTTTGGGTGACCTTGAGCCTTCTTATGAGGCCCATAGTAAGCGACCACGTTTCGGATCCATATGTCAACACTGGCAACACACACTGCTCGAAGACTTTCGTCTTGAGACACTGCGGTATTTCGGACATGAGTATATGAGTCCTCCTACTAGGTGGACCGACGATCTGGTAAAGGTCGCGGGAAGAGCCTGGATGCGGGCAGCGCAGGACCGTTCATTGTGGAAAACCTTGGGGGAGGCCTTTGTCCAGCAGTGGACGTCATTTGGCTGAAACGAACGAACGAACTCGTACATGTGTAGAAATGTCACAAAAGCCAATTACAGAAACACATTGTACTAAGTACTAAACACGATTATTTTAATGTGGGAATAATAAAGAATTATAAACATCTTCTTTCCCCACTTCTTATATCATCACTTAATTAACCCAAGACTATCATGTGGCATACCACATCATTTAGTTAAACCAGCCATTTACATTACGTCAGGGGTGCTAAACCTTCCGTCGCGTCTGCCACGGCCCAATTATCTATTACGTAGCATCGATTATGAATACTCGGTTCATGCCAGAGTGGCATTCGCCACAGACCTTATAATATCTTTGCATAACTGTCAAACTTTATGCAACAATAAGTTATCGCAAATTATTGCCTAATTTCGCTGTTTTTGATATTGATTTCAGTTTATCCAGTTTACAGTTAGGATTTTACAGGCTTTCATAATTTATGTTTGTCCAACCAAAGTGACAGACTCTCAGTCGACTCAAAAAGTCTGACATCGGAGTAGTGACCTCATTTATTGCAACCTACCCGCTAGTTATCATTTTCATAATTTATGAAATAGCTGAAAAACATGTTTGGTATTTGACAGTTCTTACGTTTAATATAATCATCTAATATTTTTAAGGAGATCAAAAAACTTTTTAAGGCACATGCTTGACAACTACATACAACTCTATTTTATGCATCAAGTTAGTTAAAAGATATTTTCATGGTTTTGTTGTACCCTCATTTTACAGAAGTATGTAATGGGCACCTGGTACTATTATTATTTCATTCCAAAGTAACACTAACCCACTTAGTTCGCTTCGATGTCAAAACAATATCTTAGAATTTTCCCATCATAAAGAAAGCTTGGAAAATGCATGGAAATAGAAAGCATACACCATCGAATGTGTGAACCGTGACGAAGATAACCCATAGCGATGCGCAAGCGCGGCTTTCTCTTACGCACCAATTGTTGACGACACCTGCATTTAGCGTTGCACAAACTAATTAAAGGGTTACGTTTGAATTTGGAACGTCGTTGGTTAGGGGTGGTGAAATGCACAATATTTATTTCTTCAAGCTCAATGAAAGCGAGATCATTCTGCAAGATTAACAAAATTGGCAACAAACAACTTCTACTTATTTGTTTTATTGTACCTAGTTGAATTTTTTTTTTTTTTAGGTACTACTTATTGTATTTAAAATTGAAAATTGAAATTGTATCATAAAACTTAGAAATGAAACGGACGAATGAACTCATTATTGCAATAATTCTTGTAAATGTGGGATTAATAGACATGTATGTACACGAAAAGTGAGTATAAACAATTGTTAGGTAAGGTAAATCGTAATTAGCTTTTACTAACAAGTATTTCTGGATAAAATCATGCTTGATTTATTTATAGTTTGTTTCAATGAAGATGATCACGTCTAATATTTGCAAATACTAGCCAAATCTTTAAGTTTATTAAGTGCGTACGTACTTAATATGCATGCAAAATTGTTACAACGAAAGTTAAGTGTATCATATCTAAAGTAGATAAGTAGGCTTTTATTATGTCAATGTAAATATTGGAGGTTTTGCATTTCGTACTCGACTACAGCTTGCACTTATTCATACGTGTTTAAGTTCACATTTTCGTCTGCTCTCGAGTACTCGCAACATATTACACAATCAGTTATCTCCTTGTCGATGATAAAATATCGAGCGTCATGGTCAATGTTCGGTTCGCCATAAGGTGACACAGTAACGTGGTATAGTTGTATAGCAGACTATAGCACAGACAACCGCATGTCAAACTAATCTTTGTGACATCTTATGTGTGTTGTAATAGGGGCGATATTACAACAGAAATTAAGTTTTTCCACAATGAACGGTACTGCGCTGCCCGCATCCAGGCTCTTCCCGCGACCTTCACCAGATCGTCGGTCCACCTAGTAGGAGGCCTGCCCACGCTACGTCTTCCAGCCCGTGGTCGCCACTTGAGAACTTTTCTGCCCCAACGGCCATCGTCTCTACGAGCTATGTGCCCCGCCCACTGCCACTTGATTTGTACATTAGTCATCATTAATATGCACAGAGTTTCTTAAAATTATTATTGTGTAGAAGATATGACTGAAACCTACTGAAAGAACTTTTTCACCTTACACCCATGACTGTGATTGTTAGCTAAATGGCCAAGCCACATATTTTAAGGTGTAGAGTTTGCTAAGTTACACCCTAGTTGAACACTATTTTAAAGTGACGTTTAGTATAACGTTTAGTACCACTTTAAAACTACACTGGTAGAGTTATTTAGAAGCTTTTGGCTCTATATCAAGCCACATGGTCTCATCTTGGCTACTTTGACGTGAAAATGTTCTTAGTGGAATTTTCAGGAAAAAAAGTTTTGAAAGGTCCTCGTGGAGTTCAAATCCTTGATAAATAAAATATTGGACACGGCATTACTTGTGTCCTATTTAAAGATCTGTTTTAAATATTGTTGTAAAACTATTTTTAAAGCAACCTTGCAATGAAAATACTGTCATTTATGCAAGTATACAACCTTCATTAAGATTATGAATTTACATACAACTTACGATGATATTTAACATTGTTTATTATTTTGTATACTTCCTTGAATACATGTTAAGTAGGTAATTCAGTTTGTATTAATGTAACAAGTACCTACTAGTTAATAGAAATAAGGTTCTGTTTATATGACATTCTTATAATACTTATGAGTATGGTAGAGGAAAATTGCTATAGTGAATTAAGTTAACGATATGGTAAGTAAATATTTGTTCAATCAGACGTAGTAATAGAATGTACACCCGATTTAACTAAATATACGAAATACAGCAGGTTAAATACTCGTAATAAGAGAGAGTGGTAGAGAGGCATTAACTTCACCTTTTGTACTGTAGTTTTTAATAAATAAAATCGATCAGATAAGCAAGTAGAATTAAAGAATTAGTTATGTAACATTTTAATTTATAGATATAGAGATACGGACCTAACAACACATTGTATGTAATCCCGTCTGACAAGATATCGCATTCAAGGCTAGAAACTAGAGCAAAGCAGTTTTGACGTTTGCGATTACCAAGTTTCTAATGTATCGGAGTTACATTTTAAGTTCGATCGTCCTTGGTATACGATACGACCTATTTTTACTCAATTAAAATAGAAATAAAAACAAAAGAGGTTTTATCTCGGAAATTATTAATACATTTGTTTTCTAAGAAAGAATAGATTTTTTTTATTCTAAGGTTTAGTAATTCAAAGTGGTTAACGTCTATGACTTACGCTATCAGCTGATATGGCGCTATCACTCAATGAGATGCCGAAAACGCAGAGACAACACAGGAGCCCACTAATTTTGCGAACCATTTTGTTTTCACACAACACAACCTCTTTTCGAACTTTGGCACAATTTGAATTTTTAAATTTCGATCGTGTTTTTTTTCTGCGAGGCACGTGCGGCGAAAGGTGCGCGACTGTTCTCGCTATGGAATGGAACGCAACTTGCAACTTGTGAATGTGGCGATTTTGAAAGGCCCGCGTAGGAGGGTTTCGCGCGTTTTCTGCCCGCGTTCCGTTCCACGCGAACTGAATTTTAGTTTTTGGCATCGTCTTTTTTTATAAACATTAAATTCATTAATGTTCTACTTTGACATACTTAGGTCACAACTTAGGTACACTTTTTGAGAAGTTGCAAGTGAAATTAATTATGTACTTACTTAGTTAATTAAATAAATTAGTATAAGGTAGCAAAAAATGTGTCGTGGACGGTCTATTAGGAGCTAATTTAATAAAGTTAATGTGTTGCATATTTACACGAAATTAAAATTTTATATCCCGTTGTATCTATTTAGTAAGACTTGTAATTGTATCTAATTCAAACTTCCTGAAATATTTGGCATTGCTAGTTCTTGAATTTTAATATTACTACATTATGCTGTTCAGGATGTTTTAATCACGTTAACGTGCGCCTGTAATTAAAATAACTTCAAACTATGTACACAAATTGTGCATCTTACTAAACAATGACGACGTTTTATGGGTCTCATCAAATGATAAGAGCCCGTATTCACAAACATTACTATGAGGTCTCATAGTGCGCTANGTTTAAGTTGTCAAAACCAACTGTTATGTGAATCCTACAGAAATCTCATTTGATACTCAATTAGGTACCTACTGTGTTTAAGATTTACTAATTTGTTAAGCATATTATCATATCGAAACCATGTACATAGGTAGCATATCGGAAGCATGATCAAATAGTGCCAATAATAAAAAGTCTATTTTTTATTATCTAGTAAATATATTAACTACCTGACGGTATTTTTGATCTCAATTTTAATTAAATTTTTGGATGTTCAGAAAAAGTACATATTACCAAATAACACCTTTGTTGATGAAACGAATTTAGTGTATTTTATTGTTAATCAATTTAAACTATTATGATATAAATTTAACAACATAAATATTATTAATTACAGTAAAAATGTAAAACTGTCACATCCGTGTCATGCAGTGTCACGTCCGTGTTTACGTAGGCTATTTTGTTTCCTTTCTGAGGGCTTTAAGGTTGTCCATATACATCAAAAGTATGCTTTTGGTTTATACTTTCGATACACATCGCAAAAAGTTTAAAAATAAAAACTTTAATTTTTTTAAAAAAAATTGGCACAAATTTAAGAATGGCCCATTTAGTAAGACTTGTAAATGTATCTAATTCAAACTTCCTGAAATATTTGGCATTGCTAGTTCTTGAATTTTAATATTACTACATGCTGTTCAGAATGTTTTAATCACGTTAACGTGCGCCCGTAATTAAAATAACTTCAAAATATGTACACAAATTGTGCATCTAAACAAAATGGCGACGTTTTATGGGTCTCATCAAATGATAAGAGCCCGTATTCACAAACATTACTATGAGGTCTCATAGTGCGCTAGGAGGCACAGGGTGACACACGAACCAATCACAGAGCTCTGTTCAACGCAGTACGTTCGATTTGCTGCTTCACCGTTTGTGAATACGCATTAGATTGTCGCATTTCTTCGCGGGTATTTGACTTGTTAACTTATCAACAACTTGGTAAGCAATAAGTACCTAAAGTAAGTAAGTAAGTGGTAATTAATGGTAAGTAAGTTCGGCATAGCTGGTTGTAATAGTTCTCCTTGATCATAAGTAAATCGTAAAATTCTTCTATTCTTATGATTATTTCTTGAGATCAAGCCATATCAAAATAAATCTACCTACTCCACTTCAATAAAAGATAATCATGAAATAAATAATCTTGACATCAAGCGAAAACATAGATAGGTATCTTCGATTGTATCAGAACACTTTGTGCATGTCCGAAATAAAATCGACCTTTGATCTGGTAGAATATTTACTGTTTCTTAGCAAACTACACTTAGTTACAGCAGAGTAAATACAAATGAGTAGGTCATCTTCATAGAAACGCACCGAGCACGGTTTGTATGTGAGCGTGCCAATATACGAAAGCGGCGCGCACGCACACACTGACAAAATTCGGCGCAACCACGACAGGCTCCCCGCTAATCCCCGCTAAATTTTGTCAGTGTGTGCGTGCGCGCCGCATACGAGTTGGCGCGCTCACATACAAACCGCGCCCGTGCGTTTCTATGAAGATGACCTACTCATTTGTATTTACTCTGGTTACAGATTACACACAATGATAAATGTTTTATGTGTATCTTCTACATAACCCTCTACATTTATGTTATCTTTATTGTCAACTAGAAACTTAACTCAATAGATAAGCGGTAAGAAAAATGCAGTGTTCGTAGTGCGATCGGAGAAACAATACATTTAACTGTGTTTCAGAATATTAATAAATAAATAACAATGTCTGCTATAAAAGACGAAGTAATAGAGCGGTTTAGGGAGTATTTGCGAATTCCCAGTGTTCAACCAGATGTCGACTACAGTAAGTATTTTTGTTACCTATTCATGTATACGTAGCTATAAATGTAGAGTTATAAGAACTTTTTAGGTATAAGAGTGGAAATGCATGTTTATACTTACTTAAGTTGTAGCTATAGTAGATAGTAACACCTATAGGTTTAAGTGAAAAAGAAAATACTAGAACTAGATGTTTTAGTGTCTCATTATTTTTGACACAGTAAAACATTATTTATTTTTATTCCCATACTCGTAGAATCATGCTTATTGTAACTGTACTGTCAGCTGTTTGTTCCGGCGTTTCTTCTCAGCACTTGCTATATTATGTTTGTCTCGAAGCGCTGGTAGGGCCCAAAAGATAAGGAGACATGTAAAGTGCCCCATAAGAGCTACCTTTTCTTTTTTATTATTTTCTATTGACGTTTATTAGTGCCACTTGTGGTCTAAACTGAATAAATATTTTTGATTTTGATTTTGATTGAGCATCAGGAAAAGTTGCACACTTATGACAGTAGACTTGCTGTAACTAGTTACTGTATTTATTCATCAATATCATTCATCATTTCAGTCACAGCACACTGCTGAACATAGGCCTTCCTCAATGATTTCCAACTTCCATATTGCCCGCTTGGTAGCGGCCTGCATCCAGTGCCTTCCTGTACTTACATCTAAATCCCGTTACGTTTCAAGAATTCCATGTGTTTTACACCTCTAGTAGAATCAACACAATCTATGCCTCTCTAAAATAATTAATAACATTAATTGTAAATGTTACGCAGGTGATTGCGTGAAGTTCCTCAAAGGCCAAGCGAAGGACTTGGACCTACCAGTGGCAGTCCACGAGCTGGTGCCACGCAAGCCGGTAGTGGTGATCACCTGGGCTGGCACAGACCCTAAGCTGCCTACCATCCTCCTCAACTCTCATATGGACGTTGTCCCTGTTTATGAGGTTTGTAGCTTTGGAACAGACGTACTTAAACGTTTTTTTCTTTTCTGCTTTTAATTTAACATTCATTCACTAGAAATCATTCATGTTTTGAAAGCAGGCGCCACTGAGTTTAGGCTGAAATTACGTTTTTTTAAAAACATCTATTCATTTCATTATGATCAGAAAGGGCACTTCACTTTTATGTTACTGCAACATAGAAACTTCCTATGTGTTTTAAACCACAAGGTGTGGTCTGACATCATTGTGGGCCCTTCGAAGCATTTACCTACTTCAAAACTTCTCAAGTCTTAACTCTTAAGATTATCCCACCATTTGTCGACCCCAGAACCATTGAGTTTACTGGACTATGGGCATTAAGTATTGCTTATTGCTACAAGCTAAGCTACCCTAAAGTATTCCAAAATCACTCTTTATCTTTTAACATTCACTCTCATCATCAGGAGCATTGGACTCACCCACCTTTCGAAGCGGTAATATCAGAGGATGGGTTCATATACGCGCGAGGCACCCAGGACATGAAGGGAGTGGGTATGATGCACCTAGAGGCTGTCAGGGCGCTGAAAAACAATGGAGTCAGACTGAAAAGGACTGTACACGTCAGTTTTGTACCTGGTAAGCATATTCAAAGAATCCAGGATTTTTGACAGGGAACTGAAAAACGCTGAGGTTAGTTTGAAAAGAACTGTACACGTCAGCTGTGTTAAACATGTCCCCAAAAACCAGAACTTTATTTGTCTCAAGATATACATACTGGTGTCTAATGCCCGTTTTCATCCCATCAATCCCTAAAGTGACCCCTATGAAAACAAAATTCATATTATGTGTTATCATATGGGTCACTTAAAAAATAGGGATTGATGGTAAAAACAGGCATTAGTTCATGGGACCAACAAAGGGATCTACTTAACCACTTCGCCACCTTTCGTCGTTTCGACCCAATGAAATCCACTGCCTGACTGCTAAATGGATTCCTTCCCGATGATTTCCAAAATGACCTGCATCTAGGTGCTTCCCGCAACTTTCACAGATAGTTGGTCCATCGAGTTGGTGTTTTACCCATCTCTCGTTCCACTATGAGCCTGCCTAAATCCTAAAGCTTGATATCAATTAAATCCAATTAGTACTTATCTAACTATCAATAAATAATATCGGTATAATCGATAATAAAGAATAGGTAGAGCTCTGAGATAAGCACAACAATAAACAAAATAATGATAATGTTGTCACGATGATGGCGACTAGATAACGAATAAATAAAGTTAAATAAACACAACCTGATTAGGTACTTAATTAATATCATTATCAAATTCTGTTATCTTATAAATACATCTATTAGTAGTTTAACTTCTTTAGATACAGTTATAAATTATTACTACGAGCTATGGTATTATGATAGATTAACATATTATTAATATTAGTAATTACATATACCCGTATTTTTACATGTGTTTTTAAACAAAAAGTAGCTCTACCTACTCATCACCATCATCTTCTACTATATAAAAATAAGTCCGGTTTTCCTCCCTGACGCTATAACTCCAGAACGCACGAACCACGGTTTCCACGGTTTTGCATTCGTTGGAAAGGTCTCGGGCTCCGTGAGGTTTATAGCAAAGAAAATTCAGGAAAAAATTCAATGGAAAAGCGGGAAGGGGGTAAAACGGGATCGACGCGTACGAAGTCGCGGGCGGCCGCTAGTTTTTTATGAAATTCATCATCATAATGGAACTTCCCAGATGAAGAAATAGGCAGCGCTGACGGAATGGAGGTGTTTTCCAAGTCGGAAGAGTTCCGAAGACTGAACGTTGGCTTCGGGCTGGACGAGAGTATGCCCGGCACCGGCGATGTATATGAAGCTTTTAACGGAGAGAGAACTAGTAGACGTAAGTAGCTTTTGAAAAATGACAATTGATTCGTATTTCTCTAGCACTATAACTTAAACTCGTAGATGAACTACACTGGTCATCACAAAAATCGGCCCACCTACGTTTTACAGGAAAACTCGTTTCTACTGACACAATCATGGTGCCCCAACAATATTGGTGTTATTTGAAAGCCCAATAAATATCCTTAAAGAAAAACACATTTAATTTCTTAATAAACGATTAACATATACCTACAATAAATGTGACTTGAAAAACTTGAAAAATGACCTCACTTTGGGCTCACCTCTGGGATCAATTAGACCAATTTTTATGGTTATAAAACCAAATAATGATTTCACGTGTCCTCTTTAACAGATGGATAGCGATTAATCCCAACTTAACAGTTTTATAGCCATTTTTGAAGAAGTGACTGGATTCTTCTACAGACACATTTTTGGGATAAAAACCTTTCCCTTAATGAAATGAAGTTTAGAACTAGGCTTTTAAATGGTAATATAGTATAGTAATATTGGTGGGAAGTGGGGACGCATACGTTTGAAAGTGCTTGTCGCGGGTGGGTCGATTTTTATGATGACCAGTGTAGTTACTTTACACCATCGTTCAACTATAGAGTTTCCAACGTGGCAAAAATCGGAACCAGCGGTCCGATATTGACGGTGGCGCCCCCCTGTCAATGTCACGGATGGGAAAGTTCGTTGTAGTTAATCTAAATACTATAACCCAAGCATTGATTCAAACTTGTGAATCATTTCAGCTAAATTACGTCCACTGCTGGACAAAGGAAGGAGAGGTCCAAGGATTTTCATAACGAGCGGTCCTGCGCTGCCCGCATTAGTTTCTTTCAGCGACCTTCTCCAGATCGTTGGTCCACCCACTAGGGGGCTTGCCCACGCTAAGTCTATATTAAAGTCAAAAAGACAATATTTAGACCAATCTATGGACAAATCGATTGTTTCACTGTTGATTTATACTTCAGTGAATTTCAGAGTAATTTCATAATGCTTGCACATCGTTCTATGACCACATTATCCGTGTTTCAGTAGTGTTTCATTAGATAAAATTGCAAAATTGCACACCATAAGAGCCTTAGCCAAGTTGTGTGATCCTTTATACGGTGGTAATTAAGCAATAACGAAAAAATATGGCTTCAGAATAATTAATGAACCCACTCTCTTACCAAATGTACCATTAACTCTGTCATACGANAGAATATTGATTTTTTCTTAGCAAACTACACTTAGTTACAGCAGAGTAAATACAAATGAGTAGGTCATCTTCATAGAAACGCACTGAGCACGGTTTGTATGTGAGCGCGCCAATATACGAGAGCGGCGCGCACGCACACACTGACAAAATTCGGCGCAACCACGACTGGCTCCCCGCTAATCCCCGCTAAATTTTGTCAGTGTGTGCGTGCGCGCCACATACGTATTGGCGCGCTCACTTACAAACCGCGCCCGTGCGTTTCTATGAAGATGACCTACTCATTTGTATTTACTCTGGTTACAGATTACACACAATGATAAATGTTTTATGTGTATCTTCTACATTATGTTATCTTTATTGTCAACTAGAAACTTAACTCAATAGATAAGCGGCGAGAAAAATGCAGTGTTCGTAATGCGATCGGAGAAACAATACATTTAACTGTGTTTTAGAATATTAATAAAAATTAATAATGTCTGCTATAAAAGACGAAGTAATAGAGCGGTTTAGGGAGTATTTGCGGATTCCCAGTGTTCAACCAGATGTCGACTACAGTAAGTATTTTCTCTGTAATTAAATGTTACCTATTCCTGCATAGTAGGGTGGAGCGTCATTGTATGGTTAAAAAAAAAGTTACGTAAACGAACTTGAATACCTGCTAAAAGTTGCATGAGAGCAAGATAATAACAAGGATATTTTTATTTTATTTTTAAAATGTATTTTTTAGCCCTCTACCGTCGTTTTAATTTAATTATTTTTTATTGTATGGCAATTTTCTAAGATCTTTGTATTCTTAAACAGAACAATGAAAATAGAATTAATTTAAAGGTGTTTTGTAAATAGAAAATAAATTTTATGAATAAAAAAGTTTAATTCGAAAAATCACTGTTAGAAATAATTGAAAAAATATATGGAAAAATCACAAAATTTAGATTTTTTTAAATTTTTATTTAGAACATTGCAATTCTATTGGTATTGAAAGATGTCATAATATTGCTCGTTCAATTGTTTCTAAATCAATTTTTTGCTTTAGAAACATTCACTATTTTAAAATTAATTCATATCAATGAAAGGTACTTGAACTTGAATGCTCTAATACTCCAGGTACTTTGTTGTCTTTTCTTGCTGCCATTATTTGTCTCAAGCTCTCTGATATAAATAATTGTTTTTCATAGTACATCATAGCTAACAAAAGATGCTTAGGGTGTGCAAAAAACGTGACTCTTTGAATAACTCGTTTAATTAATTAAAGTAATTTTCTTAACATTTGATTACAAAGACTTTAATAATGTAATCAATATCAGTCTTGCTTTGCTTGATCTGATTTAAACTTCCTGTTGCTATTTTTCTAATTTTTTCTGATCTAGTGAAAATGCTCTTTCTAATAATGCTATTTCTCATCTTTTGGACAATTACAAGTGCTCAAATTACTAGATTTATAAGAAAACTATCTAATAGTTCTTGTATGCATTTTTTATATTGCTGTAGATTAGCGTTGAAGTTATCTGATTGTTTTGGTTATGGAAAGCGAATGAAATGTGAATACTTATTAAAACAACACTTTAACAATTGTTTTATTCGTTGTATCGTAACATAACAACAGGCTAAGAAGTTTTCCTATTAGTTTCGACTAAAGATTGAGAAATACAACGGGCTGTTTACCTTTTATTTCCAACTAGCTGACCCGGCGAACTTCGTACCGCCTTAGCGTAGAGATTTTCTTAATATTTTTTTCCGTAAGAACCATCCTTGGACTTCCACAAACATTTAAAAAAAAGAATTATCGAAATCGGTTCAGCCGTTCACACGTGATGCCGTGACAACGCGAAACGGGTTTCATTTTTATATATATAGATTAGCGACTCGCCCCTGCTTCGCATAGGTAGGTACAACGTAATGTCTTATACTTAAAAATCTTCCTCTTGAATCACTCTATCTAATTTAAAAAAAAAACAGGTGTCAGTGGTAACACTGATTAAGGTAAAAAACAAAGAAGGAGATCCTAAAATAGGTCCCTATGAGTGATTAATTTCGATTTTATTTTGACTTTGGAAGAATAAAATTAGACAACGCAATTACGAACTATCTACTTGATTCATATCAGTCAACTAAAGATAAAGACATAAGACAAAGATAGAAAGAAGAAAATAGGTAACTGGACTAATTCTGATGTCAACAGTTCAAGTTGCAAAGTTACGCGCTGACTGTGAGTTTTGCTTATAATCGGCGCTTTTAAGCTTTTATTAATGTATTGTTTTAAGTTTATGACAAGCTTATAATGATTTACAATTATTTTTTACGATGTATATTATATTTAAAGTTACAAAAATATATTATTTATCAAATAAAACCTATTCTAAGGTAATTTATGATTTTTGCAATAAAGTCCTATTTTTTCACTTTTATGAAATATTCAAAAGCCAGTAGAGGGCTAAAAAATGGTCGCAATATTTTTTATTTATTTTTCTCGTAACCTTTGCAACAAGATGCAACTTTTAAGAGGTATTCACAAACGCAAATGTAAAAAAAAAATTTTCGCTCCACCCTACTGCATAGGTATGTAGCTATAAATGTAGAGTTAAATTACCTAGAAAGTTTAAACTTTTTAGGTAATAACAGAGTGTAAATATAATGTACATACTTACGTAGGTACCTACTTACTTAAGTTGAAGCTATAGATAGTAACACCTTTAGGGTTTAGTGAAAAATAAAATAAGTACATACTAGATGTTCTAGTGTCTCATTCTTTTTGACACAGTAAACATTATTTTATTCGCATACAGTAAAAGTATGTAGTTGTAACTGTAATATCCTGGTGCTGGGTTCCAAGACTTCCATGTGTTTTACTCCTCCAATAGAAACAATCAACACATCAAATCTATGCTTTTCTAAAAGAATTAAAAACATTTACAACGCAGGTGACTGCGTGAAGTTCCTCAAAGGCCAAGCGAAGGACTTGGACCTACCAGTATCAGTCCACGAGCTGGTGCCACGCAAGCCGGTGGTGGTGATCACGTGGACCGGGACAAATCCTGAGCTACCTTCCATCCTCCTCAACTCGCATATGGACGTAGTCCCTGTTTATGAGGTTTGTAGCCACGAGAGTTTATGAGCTTTGAACAGATGTAGGTGCGAAACGTTTTTTCTTTTCTGCTTTTATTTTAACATTCATTCAGTAGTAATCACTTATGTTTTAAAAGCAGGCGCCACTGAGTCTAAGGTAAAATTACTTTTTTTTTTAAAACAATGGAAACGTCTATTCTTGTCAGAAAGGGGACTTCACTTTAATGCTACTGCAAAATAGAAACTTCCTCATCAAGATGTTTTAAACCACAAGAGTGGTTTCCAACTCGGCTATCTGACATCATTGTGGGTCGTTCGAAGCATTCCTACCTATCTCAAAACTTCTCAAGCCATAACTCCTAACCACCATTTGTCGACCCCAGAACCATTGAGTATATTGAATTATGGGCATAAGTATTGCTTATTGCTACATGCTAAGTATCCCAAAATAGTTCTCTTTATCTTTTAACATTCACTGTCATCATCAGGAACATTGGACTCACCCACCTTTCGAAGCGGTAATATCAGAAGATGGGTTCATATACGCGCGAGGCACCCAGGACATGAAGGGAGTGGGTATGATGCACCTAGAAGCTGTCAGGGCGCTGAAAAACAATGGAGTCAGACTGAAAAGGACTGTACACGTCAGCTTTGTCCCTGGTAAGCATGTTCAAAGAATCCAGGATTTTTGACAGGGAACTGAACGCTGAGGTTAGTTTGAAAAGAACTGTACACGTCAGCTGTGTTAAGCATGTCCCCAAAAACTAGAACTTTATTAGTCTCAATATAAACGTACTGGTGTCTTTTATCCGTTTTTATTCACCATCAATCCCTAAAGTGACCCCTATGAAAACAAAATTCATATATGTGCTATCATATGGGTCACTTTAAAAATAGGGATTGATGGTAAAACAGGCATTAGTTCCCGGGAGCAAAGGGATCTACTTAACCACTTCGCCACCTCTCGTCGTTTCAGCCAAATGACGTCTACTGATTTACAAAGGCCATGAAATGCACTGCCGGACTGCTAAATGGATGCCTTCCCCAAAGATTTTCAAAATGACCTGCATCTAAGTGCTTCCCGCAACTTTCACGGATCGTTGGTCCACCGAGTTGGTGTTCTACCCATCTCTCGTTCCACTATGAGCCTGCCTAAATCCTAAAGCTTGATATCAATTAAATCCAATTAGTACTTATCTAACTATAAATAAATAATATCGGTATAGTCGGTATTAAAGAATAGGTAGAGCTCCGAGATAAGCACAACAATAAACAAAATATTGTTGTCAAGATGATGGCGACTAGATAACGAATAAATAAAGTTAAATAAACACAACCTGATTAGGTACTTAATTAATATCATTATCAAATTCTGTTATCTTATAAATACATCTATTAGAAGTTTAACTTCTTTAGATCAGTTATAAATTATTACTACGAGTATTTAGAGCTATAGTATTATGATAGATTAACATATTATTAATGGTCTTCACTTAGCTATTAGTAATTACATATACTCGTATTTTTGAATGTGTTTTTAAACAAAAAGCAGTTCTACCTACTCATCACCATCATCTTCTACTATATAAAAATAAGTCGGGTTTTCCTCCCTGACGCTATAACTCCAGAACGCACGAACCGATTTCCACGGTTTTGCATTCGTTGGAAAGGTCTCGGGCTCCGTGAGGTTTATAGCAAAGAAAATTCAGGAAAAAATTCAATGGAAAAGCGGGAAGGGGGTAAAACGGGATCGACGCGTACGAAGTCGCGGGCGGCCGCTAGTTTTTTATGAAATTCATCATCATAATGGAACTTCCCAGATGAAGAAATAGGCAGCGCTGACGGAATGGAGGTGTTTTCCAAGTCGGAAGAGTTCCGAAGACTGAACGTTGGCTTCGGGCTGGACGAGAGTATGCCCGGCACCGGCGATGTGTATGAAGCTTTTAACGGAGAGAGAACTAGCAGACGTAAGTAAAAGGCTTTGTTCCTACAACCTTAAATGAAAACTGGCCACTGGGTCCCATGTCCCTATTGACAAAATATTAGGTTCATTTAAGCTTGTAATGAAACGAAGTTTAAGGCTGAGTTGCACTACTAATCTTTGACCGTAACTATAACGATACCCGGTGATTTTTGTGTGGAGTTTGACATATTTTTGACGTTTGTTACAGTCAAAGTAAGATGGTGTAACCCAGCCTAAATCTCGATTCCAACCCAAGCATTGATTCAAAGTTGTGATTCATTTCGTTCATTTCAGCTATATGACGTCCACTGTTGGACAAAGGCCTCTCCCAAGGATTTTCATAACGACCGGTCCTGCGCCGCCCGCATTGCATCCAGATTTTTCGAGCGACCTTCTCCTACCTGTCTTCCGGCCCGTGGTCGCCACTCGAGAACTTTTTTGTGATTTATTTAAAGGTCAATCAAAAAACTAATCACCGGACAAATCAATTTAATGACTATTGATTTATACTTCAGTACGAGTTCAGTGTAATTTCATAATGCTTGCACATTGTTCTATGACCACATTAACTGAGTTTCAGTAGTGTTTCGTTATAAAATTGCAAAATTGCACACCATAAGAGCCTTAGCCAAGTTGTGTGATCCTATAAATAAATGTATACAGTGCTAATGAAGCAATAACTATAAAATATGGCTTCAGAATAATTAATGAACCCACTCTCTTACCAAATGTTCCATTAACTCTGTCANTCATACGAGTACTTTTGCGAAATTAATAACATTCTTACTTAATTACCTAGCTTAAAACTTGCAAAACATAATTACCGATTTTATCTGAACCAAGCAACCAGTGTGTGACTAGATAGCAGATCCAAGCCTAGCTACCATTAAGATGTACATCGGCGACAATAACTCAGTATTTTCGTAACTAAATTGAGCAATTTGAGCCTTTTCACAAGCTAATTAGAGAATAAAAAGTCGTAGAGGTAAAAAGAGGATTTCTAAGTGCGAGACCCGATTATTATTTTCTGTATGACTCTACCAAGATTGATTTTATCAAACTAAAGCGTTTATCTTCAACACCTCCTATTTGTTCTGGAGTTAAGTGGTTATGGAGTTCAAATATTTGTTTTATTTATTGAAATTCTTTATTGCACACACAAAAAAGGGGTACAAAACTTAATGTGGTATTCTCTACCAGGATGTTTAGGTTTAGAACCTATTATGTGACATGTCTTTGGCTTGATGAATTTCGGGCATTTAATTTTAGCCTTGTGTATTTTTAAGATGTTTTAATTGTTATTTTATTGTAGCGTTAAAGGTGACGTGCACTGGAATCCCAGGCCATGGATCCCTACTAAATGACAACACAGCCGGGGAAAAAGTAAGTCAAAAGATAAACGACAAAAAATATGACTAGTGTTAGAAAATTATCTATATTTTTACCCGACTGCGCCAGAAAAAAGGGCTATTTTAGTTACTAGGGCATGATAATGCTAGAGCGACAGACAGACTGATAGAGCGACTATATTGCAACCTTTAATTCAATCGATAAACTAAGGCAGTATAAATTACTCGTACTAAATAAGTTTTTGCCTAAATAATGAGTTAATTTTGCAACAAATTCCTATGTCAGAATAAATAGGTATTGCGTGTGAATGCAAAGCGTTGCCACAGTTTTCCAGTTCAGTGCTCTTCATGATCAATATTTGGTGGCTATTTAGTCTATGTTTTATGTTACTAGCTTATGCCTGCAGCTTCGTTGTGTAAATCAGTTAGAAAGACACAGAAAGTATCTAGCTGTTTGTCACGTAATTAATAAAAATGGTCGTAAAATTTCTCTATTTTGTACCACACTTTTGTATCCTAGCTTGTGAAATGAATATGTTATATCTCTTTATTTTAATGTGTTTTTCTTTAGGATAAAATGTGATTCGAGTACTGTGTACTAGCGGCCACAATGCCAGCTACCCATTTCCATTTTTTCTCTCGCTCTCATCAATGGTGATTATTCGCGATAGAACGAGACGACATGACCGGAAACTGGTAGCTGGAACTGTGGCCGATTAGTACCTTCCTAGTTAAAAGTTTTATATATTTTTCAGCTTCACTATGTGATCAGCAAGTTCATGAAACTACGTGAGGAGGAAAGGAAAAAGCTGGTTTCTGGTACACCCTATGGAAATGTTATAACTGTCAACTTGACACAGACTGAGGTAATCCATCTAATTATTTAATTTAGTTACAGGTTAAGATCAATTTTTCCCGCAAATACCAAAAATAAGTGTACCTATTTATTACAGACACATTTTTAAGTTAAAAAATAGAGTAATGTTGAGTATTAATGAGCTAATTGTACCCAGGCATTTAACATTTTATGTGCGAATAAGAATTTTTATTGTATTTGTGTTAATTGATCGTTAAATTAATAAACATGACAAAGCTCTTTATCATCAGATGGTTAGAGCTTGTCAAACATTAAATTAATTAGGACAGTTTTTAATTATTTAGCTTTATTTCTTTAGTGCTTCGTGTATTTTTGTTACAGGGTGGAGTTCTAGTGAACGTTTTGCCAGAGTTTTTGTCAGTCTCGTTCGATATGAGAATCCCGCCTGACCTTGACCACCAGGAACTCGAAGACATGGTAAAAAAAATTTTCTTTATCAATCAAGCAAGTCGTAATACTACAGTTATTAGTTATGTAGCACTTCAGCTTAAAAATATTTATGGTTCTTTATTTTGCACAATTATGTATCCTTACGAGCAAAAGTATGGAATCACCCGCTTGTGGCTCGTGTGTTTTGTTCCTAACGATTTACGCTTACGATTTACGTATTCACAAACATTACTATGAGGTCTCACAGAACCAATCACAGAGCTCTATTCAACGCTGTGCGTTCGATTTGCTGCTTCACTTAAGCAAGCACCGTTGGTGATACGGGCGTTAATCTTCATAGTTATTTTGTACCAAAGAGTGTACTTACTTACCTACCTAGTTCTTCTTCAATCTAAAAATAATATTAACTCTTTCAATCTTACTTTTAAGATCAAATCCTGGTGTGAGGAAGCAGGAGACGGTGTTACACTCGAATACTACAAAAAGAACCCAGAGATCAAAAGTACGAGGATTGACGGCAGCATTCCTTTCTGGACCGCCATGAAAAGTGTCGTCAATGACATGTAAGTAAAATAAGGACAAAACAGTCCTTTGTATTGCAATATTAGATTTTGAAGTATCTGATACCATAATTAAATGCTGAGAAAAGTTAGAGTTTACAGATAAACCCGATAACTATCATACTTTTTGGTACTTATCTACCTTTTAATTAAGACAGACCGCAAGATTTAATGACATTAGCTACTTTTTCCAGCTTTATGACATCGTGGTATGCAATGCTGTCGCGAGCAATGTGTTCTGTTTTTGGGCATATCGCTGTGACGCTGGCCAGTGTCGACTGGCCCCGCCCCCTTTTCACTTTTCCCTTTATATATATCCTTGGACATTTTACACTGCGCTTCTAGTCCCAAACTAAGCAAAGCTTGTACTATGGGTACTAGACAACGGATATAAACATACTTAAATACTTTTTTTTTTTTTGTAAATACATACTTATTATACATAGAAAACACCCAGTCCAATACAAACAAATATGTTCATGCACACAAATGTTTGTACTGTGCGGGAATCGAACCCGCTACCTCCGGAATAATAGTCCGTTTCGAACCACTACACCAAACGGCCGACTTTAGTTTCTGTGATCCGTGGTTGTGCTCTTACAGTGAAGGCTTTACAACCTCATGATGATGATAAGACTGTTGCAATTGCAAAAGTTACTGACCCAGATTTCAAACTATTTTCTCTCGTACAGGGGCTACAAAATGAACTGCACCATCTGCCCCGGGGCGACAGACGCCCGTTTCGTCCGCAACCAGGGCATCCCGGTCATCAGCTTCTCTCCAATTATCAACACGCCTCGGCTCCTCCACGCTCATGATGAGAGGATCCATGTTGATGAGTACAGGAGGGGAATTAGTGTCATGGAGAAGATTTTGACTGCTGTTGCTAACGTGTAAAGAAGCGAATGTATTGTGGAAATAAACTAAGTTAAGTATATTCTAATTGCATTTGTATTTTTCGTTTGAACTGGCGGCCGCCCGCGTCTTCGTACGCTTTTTACCCCTTTAGGGCTGGAGTTTTGTAAAATTCTTAGTGAGCACCTACGTTCTAAAAGGAACCCCCATGCAAAAATTGAAACTCCTAGCACTTGCAATGTATAGATGAAGTAGCTCTCAGAAACGTTTCCTGATTGGCCCATTTTTTAAGGAGCTTTTTAATTACTCCAATTTCAGTGTGTAGGGTTTCTACTTGATAAAAATCAAAGACATGCACCACATGTATTATGACAATAGCTCTATTTACTGTAACACTTTCTTAATACATACTCGTACAAGAAGACATATTTTCATAAAAAACCTTCCCGTCTGTTCCTAAACTCCTTTTGAAATATGGCTTTACCACATTAATTTAACTATTACCATAATTTCACTTATTCTCTCTCATCCTTTGAAGCACTTGTAGACCCTTCACTCTGTCTGTCTTTCTTTTTCTTCCTCAACTGCAGTACATCTGATTTGTCCTGGTCTGATTTATTCTCTGATTTGTTCTCCGATTTATTCTCCGATTTTTGCTTCTTCATATCTTGTGACTTGGTTGCGTTTCTGTCGACGTTCCTTGATGAAGACCCCTGGCTAAGTTGTGCGGCAATCACGTGGCGCTGTGACACTAGCGTGGCGCGACGATCGTTGAAGTACTCCTCTATTTCTTGGAGAGTCAGCCCTTTTGTCTCTGGCAAGTAGAAGTAGAGGTATATGCTGCCTGAAAACAACTGTTATTTTGAAAAATGCAGACTTACGCAACATTTTTGTTAATGAACGAGTCAAAAGTTCTACGAGCTATATTTTATTGTGAAAAAAAGACTGAATTAAGAGGTAGGAGTGGCTCACCTAATAAAGAAGAAGTTCCAAAGCATAAAGTTATATTAGCGATTCCGATTAGATTTCGTAAATATGGATACAATTTATTCACTCCAAATATCATGAAATTCAACAACGACACTGTGATGCCACCCAATAATCCACGCACCTGAAAATATTCAAAATAAGGTAGTACCTTGTCTGTATTGTGGTAAACGACTTTTGACCTTTAACCCGATTGAGTTAACTGCGCACCTGTACCTCTAGCATGAACAACTTTCGTCTTCGAACCGTTTGCGTACTCGACAAAATTCGATACTCAACCATCGAATGAAACGATAACGTGACAATTTTGATTCTCAAAATAAGTTTCATGCAATCATATCTCATACTAAGTTCACTTTACGACACGTTCACAAGGGCGCCGTTGTAGTTTTCGTGCTAAATCTTTTGATGGCGATTCGAATACGCAAACGATTCTAACTCGAAAATTTTTGCTAGCCGTACTGGTAGCAGTGACGTCACATCGACGCTCTGGTACGGATGGGACCAACGGGGGGAGGCGTGCGGATGAGTGCGAGGGAGAGACGTATTCTCAATCGGGTTGTAGTGGGAGACCCCATGACCAATGCGACTTTTTAAGTACCTATGTAGTATTGTAGTCATCTACTGTAGCTTAAATTACACTTACATTGTCACCATATTTGTCTTTCAGCATTCATAGCATAAAATCTACGTGTCTTACCTATAGTAATTATATTTTTTCTAAATAATAGAGTCATTTTAATCCTTTCGATCCTTGTTTTTATCTAAATAAAGTATAAGGGTCACAGTTCCAGCTACCCCTTTCCGGTCATGTCGTCTCGTTCTATCGCAAAGAATCACCATTAGATGAAAGCGAGAGAAAAAACCGAAATGCTAACTGGAACTGGAGGCCACTGTACAAAATATGGCGGTCTAGGGAGACTAACAGCTAAAACTGACCTGCAATGGATACAGTTCGTACATGATCAGAAGCGGTATGGTGTAGTAGCCGAGGGTGGCGAACATGACGGTGGACACGTAGCACACCACGGGAATGACGCTGGGCGGGCTCTTGGAGTGAATGTACGAGCCCAGAGCTATGAATGATAATCCTACACCGACACCTGCAACACCAAAATGTACAAGATGCAACAAGATAACAAGTTCAAAAAATTGTAAGTCGTCTACGGAAAAAAAAATTTCGCTCGACTTGTTTGGCTCGGATAAGTGTGTTCACCTTAAAATGTAGGCTTTGTTACACAACAAATCGATTGATATCTTATTCATCAAAATATTAGATGAATAGTAAGTATAGACGCTACGGAACAATATACCGAGGTACAAAATACATACCTAACATTAATAAAACTTTCCTCTTGACTACGCCGTAGTAGGGTAAAAAAGCTACGAGTTTCTAAGAGCGAAAGTTGAGTCGACAATGCAGGAAAAGTATATAAAAACAAATTGCTTACTTCATGCCTGCCAGACTCAAACTGATTGCTTACTTGATATCAACGCCTGAGGTTTCCTTCCAATTCTGTACAACATCAACGAAGAAAAGATTCCAGTAATAAACCTTGTCATGCCCATTGCAAAGTTGCCCAAGTTGGCGTCAACTGACGAGTTAGATCCCTGAAAATTTTACAAAATGGTGAGAGATACGGAAGATAATAAAGGGTGTAAGACAAAGGTCAGCAAAACATGAGTTCACGTTTTGTCTCTTGTTTTTCCTTTTTTCCACTGTGTAGTAGTATACGCACAGTAGGTATTTAAATTTTTTATTTTAAATACCTACTGTGCGTATACTAAATTAAAATATTAAAATAAGAAATTAAAGTCGCTCTTGATGTCGGTGAAGAGAGAGAAAATTATGAAATGTATTAAAAAATGGACGGTTTGAATTTTCGGAAAAAAAAAATATCAATTCAAATTGTTTAAAATTGTTATCCAGTTTGATATTGAACTTCAGAGGTTAATTTTATGCCGATCTGCCAATGTTCCCTGTATTTTGACTACTTACACAAAAAAATGTTACCTCTATAAGTTCTATGGTCCACATGAAAATGATTGTAACCCCTGAAATCTGTGATAGTAAAATATAAATGAATACAATCCAGAATGGTCTGCACACTCCTTTAGTGAACAAAAGGCATAACTCTTCTTTAAACTGTAATCTGAAATTAAAATAATGTATTTGTGTGTGTATTCATGTGAATACAGGACCTATGTGGAAAGTGTGCATTTTGTTTTCATAACTTTAAGACGTGTTTAGCTTTAGCTCACATTTTTCAACAAGAATCTAGAGATTCTTGAACATAAAATTCTATGATTGTCAGAAAAACTTGAATATTCTGCATATTAATTAAAGGATATCATCCATTTTGGTCCAAAATCAAAAGTGCCGGCCAAAAAATAAAAGTGCTGTATTCTGATAGAATACGTCCGCCTTAGCATTTATTACTATGGCCACCACTGTGCATCGTAGTATTTGAGCTCTAAAAATATATGAAACGACTGACTTTGATCTCAAATACTACGATGCACAGTGGTGCTACAGCTTTGGTGTCATAGTAACAAATACTAAGGCGGACGTATTCTGTCAGAACACAGCACTTTTTTTTTTATTGGCCGACACTTTTGATTTTGAACAAAAAATGTATGAATCGTCGATGAATTTTAGATCTCAAATACTCGACGCATAGTGGTGCTACAGCTTTGGTGCCATAGTAACAAATGCTAAGGCGGACGTATTCTGTCAGAACACAGCACTTTTTTTTTATTGGCCGACACTTTTGATTTTGAACAAAAAATGTATGAATAATCGATGACTTTTAGATCTCAAATACTCGACGCACAGTGGAGCTACGGCTTTGGTGCCATAGTAACAAATGCTAAGGCAGACGTATTCTGTCAGAATACAGCATTTTTTTTTTGTTGGCCGGCACTTTTGATTTTGGACCAAAAATATATGAAACGTGGATGATGTCCTTTTAAGCATACGTTAATACTGCATCACGCAAGTGGAGTTTAAAAAGATCGGATTTTAAATGGCTGATCAAGTTCGAGTCTTTGAATAAGTATTAGTATCATTTGGAGACAGAAGAGTACAAAGGGCCTAGTGTGAGTACCAAAGAGCATAAGTGAGTACTTACATCAAACGTGCTCACTTGTGAGCGCGTCAAAAAATGACATTAAATTATGTATGACGGATACAGCGCCCCTAGCGGGAAACGTTGAAAAACTAAAATTTTCATACAATTTTTAAACGTGCTCACTGGTGAGCGCATTTGATGTAAACTCACACTCAGCCCACACACAGGTCACATTAAAAAAAGTCTTACAATTTCACAAAATCAAGAATATAACCTACGAATGTTGTTCACCGTCTTGTATTCCATTAGATCATTAATTTCCCTGTCCACCTTATATTTCTTCGATCTGAACCATTTTAAGGTCTTTCTGGCGTTTTCTTCTGTGCCTTTGAGGAGCACGAAATATGGAGTTTCGGGTAGCAACATGTTGAATAAGAAGAGGAATAATGAATACGCTCCGCAAACGTAGCATATTGTAGTCCATTTCAGAAAAGCTCCAAATGCTGCCTGAAAATATGGATAAGTAGTTCTAACAAATGAAAACAATTCTTAGTTACAGAAAAAACGATCTCAATAAACACAAAAATATATTGTTATTCGTAACAGCAACCAATTTAAGTTCTTCGACAAAAGGTATCAAAACTGGCTTTGCACTGAAATCTCTTTATTACAGTGAGTCGCACAGTGTTAAGCCGGATCTACAGCGCGTGTTTTTTCATCATTTTCTGTCGCCAATTTTGTTGAATGTTGACATGTTTTTGTTGATTATGTAGGACAAAACACGAGCTGGAGACCAGGCTTTAAGTTACATTGTCTTGGGCACCAGAGAAGTGTTAGACCGAGGCAATTGAATTCCTAAAATTTGAGAATAGGAGGTTCCTAATTGTTTACCAGTATTGTTAAGCCCATAGACATAGCCAGGTTGGGGAGGGCCCCGACTGTCCCACGCATGTTCGGCAACGATATCTCCGTGACGTAGATCCTTGGCGCACCCATTGACATGCCGATCCCTAGCCCTGTTATTATACGTCCTGAAAGAGCAAACTTATTATCTCTATTCCATTTTAATAAGAATTTATTATTTCCATATGCTTCAACAGCTCTTCCTTTGGCATTTGAGGAACTTTGCCTCGAGCGAGATAGGATAGAGTTTCTTCCTACAGACTGACTCAAAATGACTGTATGATACTTATCAAAGTCAGTGCCTAAAGAATGGGAGCGGCATGGGAGGGGTGACATTGACATAATATATTGTGACTTGACAAATCATATAATTCTGAAGGAGAAAGTCTCACTGACGCTACGAAATCACCAGGCACCCAGGCACTGACTGAGGTTACCTATAGTTTATTTACCTACCTTCCAGATCACTAACTGACCATATAATAAAGAGTTCTAACATTTATAACTTGAAGTCTCACTGTAAAATAAAGACTAGGAACTCTACATACAAGAAATATCATTAAAGGACAATGACCAAAAATGTATGGAGTGTGGTCCAAATGTCCACCACTAACGAGACCTATGTAGTAAAATAGTCTACTAAATACTGATTCATTATAACCAAACCGCAATCAAAAATATGCAGTCAGTAAAAAGTTATGACTGAATGAAAAGTCTGTTTTTTACCTTTTCATTAGAAAAATGTTCTTAATATCATTCTATCCATTGCACATTTTGGACTAATCTACGCATGTTATATCATGTCGCATGTGGCGCGGGGTTATAGATGAATTTTATTAAATAGCACTAGCTGTGCCTACGACTTTGTACGCGTGAAAATAGTTTGAATAATATTTCTCATTTTTACAACATTTGTCTTTACTGCTCCGCCCCTATTGGTTGTCGGGTGATGTTATTTATCCTAAAACCATCCTTAATAAATGGGCTATCCATAACAAAAATATTTTTTCAAATCGGACCAGTAGTTCCTGAGATTAGCGCGTAAACTACTACAATTTTTCAAACAGTCATAACTTTTTACTGATAGCTTATTTTTTTTTCGTCCCATACTGAAAGTTAAACTCTATTTAATGGACTATAAGCCAATATATGTCTCATTAGTGCACTTTTGGTCATTGTCCTTTATGGTAACCTATGATGATTTGGTTGGCGTCAGCAGCAAATCCTGTCAACAGCCACCCAACACACAATGGCAGTTGGCAAATGATCAGGATCAGCTTTCTTCCTAACGTATCCATCATGTAGCCACACACGAGGCACCCAGCTGGCGCGACCAGGGTCAAAACACTGGCTGAAAGTAAAAATCATATCAGGAATAGTCAATGCTGAAAAATCCTGACAGACCTCCTTCGGCAATTATGTCCTGTAGAACTAGTTTGTAGAAATAACTTAATTATTAGCACCGGAGTATGCCATGCAGGATTTTTTTAGTGAGTACATGCCTCTTACAGAAGGTTATAGAGTATTTCCACCTGAAAATATAGGTACTCCCGTGGTGGTAGGAAAACAACAAACCATCATGACAAGGGTGAGAACCCTGTATGAGCAAGAAAGATTTTTCTAATGGCTAATCCAGACTGTAAATATCAAAAGTAGAGGTAATTATAGACCTACTCAATATAGATAAGGTAGGCCTCTATCCATTTCTTACTTGAATTAACTTATCACTGACCTATCCAACTCTCATCACTCGTAGTGATTGTAATCGTCGAATTCGCTTCGTTCAACTGCGGTATGGTCACAGCTGGGAAGCCAAACGCCAAGCCAATGCCCACCATGGTGAGGCTCACCCACAAGCCATAGCCCAGCTGAATCCACGAGGTCACCGTACAGAACCCAGGGTCAGCTGTGATACTCTCTGACATATTGAGCTCATACTGACGAAAAGTCTTCAGAAGACATTCTATGATCTGGAGTAACTGTAGAAATTAGAAGAACTTGCAATAAAATATCTTTTGATTTATGATTGTTTTGACTTTATTTGTCGATGATTGACAGAAAAGATCACAGAATAAAAATACAGCAGCAAAGACAACATAGGTTATCAAGGAAAAGTTTCCTAACTAAGTAGATAGTTTCATAGAAATCGAGAAGCAATTTATTTAGATTTCCAACGCTTCAACCTCAACATCTGATAAAGGGTTCGGGCTTTTGTGAATGAAAAACGTGGAAAACCAGTCACAAGGACTTTTTGATACCCATTGTTACTACTGGAGTCTAATCAAACCCGCGTTATCTTGTTTGCCAAACACACGCCTGNAAGAGCGAGAGTTGAGTCGAGAATGCAGGAAAAGTATTTAAAAACAAACTGCTTACTTGACGCCTGCCAGACTCAAACTGATTGCTTACTTGATATCAACGCCTGAGGTTTCCTTCCAATTCTATACAACATCAACGAAGAAAAGATTCCAGTAATAAACCTTGTCATGCCCATTGCAAAGTTGCCCAAATTGGCGTCAACTGACGAGTTAGATCCCTGAAAATTTTACAAAATGGTGAGAGATACGGAAGATAATAAAGGGTGTAAGAGAAAGGTCAGCAAAACATGAGTTCATGTTTTGTCTCTTGTTTTTCCTTTTTTCCACTGTGTTTCACAACTTTCCCTGTATTTTGATTATTCAAAAAATATTTTACCTCAATAAGTTCTATGGTCCACATGAAAATGATTGTAACCCCTGAAATCTGTGATAGTAAAATATAAACGAATACAATCCAGAATGGTCTGCACACTCCTTTAGTGAACAAAAGGCATAACTCTTCTTTAAACTGTAATCTGAAATTAAAATAATTTATTTGTGTGAAATAAAGGACCTATGTGGAAACTGTGCATTTTGTTTTCATAAGTTTAAGAAGTGTTCTAGCTTTAGCTCCCATCTTCCAACAAGAATCTAGATTCTTGAACATAAAATTCCCTGATTGTCAGAAAAACTTGAATATTCTGCATATTAATTAAACTTTTAAGCATACGTTAATATTTGCTGCATCACGCAAGTGGAGTTTAAAAAGACCGGATTTTAAATGGCTGGAGTGGAGACAGAAGAGACATTAAATTATATATGACGGATACAGCGCCGCTAGCGGGAAACGTTGTAAAACTAAAATTTTCATACAATTTTTAAACGTGTGAGCACTAGTGAGCACGTTTGATGTAAACTCACACACAGCCCACAGGTCGCATTAAAAAAAAGTCTTACAATTTCACAAAAACAAGAATATAACCTACGAATGTTGTTCACCGTCTTGTATTCCATTAGATCATTAATTTCCCTGTCCACCTTATATTTCTTTGATCTGAACCATTTTAAGGTCTTTCTGGCGTTTTCTTCTGTGCCTTTGAGGAGCACGAAATACGGAGTTTCGGGTAACAACATGTTGAATAAGAAGAGGAATAATGAATACGCTCCGCAAACGTAGCATATTGTAGTCCATTTCAGAAAAGCTCCAAATGCTGCCTGAAAATATGGATACGTAGTTCTAACAAATGAAAACAATTCGTAGTTACAGAAAAAACGATCTCAATAAACACAAAAATATATTGTTGTTTGTTCAGCAACTAATTTAAGTTCTTCGACAAAAATATCAAAAGTGGCTTTGCACTGAAATCTCTTTTGAGTCGCACAGTGTTAAGTCGGATCTCCAGCGCGTGTTTTTTCAATATTTACTATAGACAATTTTGTTGAATGTTGACATGTTTTTGTTGATTGTTGAAGGCAAAACACGCGCTGGAGACCCACCCGGCTTTAAGTTACATTGTCTTGAGCACCAGAAAAGTGTGTAGACCGAGGCAATTAAATTCATAAAATTTGAACACAGGAGGTTTAATTGTTTACCAGTATTGTTAAGCCCATAGACATAGCCAGGTTGGGGAGAGCCCCAACCGTCCCACGCATGTTCGGCAACGATATCTCCGTGACGTAGATCCTTGGCGCACCCATTGACATGCCGATCCCTAGCCCTGTTATTATACGTCCTGAAAGAGCAAACTTATTTTGATCTCTATTCCATTTTAATTAGGATTTATTATTTTCATATGCTTCAACAGCTCTTCCTTTGGCATTTGAGGAACTTTGCCTCGAGCGAGATAGGATAGTTTCTTCCTACAGACTGACTCAAAATGACTGTATGATACTTATCAAAATCGAAGCTATAGGCGCTTTACTCAGTCAGTGCCTAAAGAATGGGAGCGGCATGGGAGGGGTGACATTGACATAATATATTGTGACTTGACAAATCATACAATTCTGAAGGAGATTTAAAGTCTCCCTGACGCTACAAAATCACCAGGCGCCCAGGCACTGAGTGAGGTAACCTATAGTTTATTTACCTTCCAGATCAGTAACTGACCATGTAATAAAAAGAGCTCTAACAAGGTATAACTTCTGAACTCTCACTGTAAAATAAAGACTAGAAACTATACATACAAGAAATATCTAGTGTCCGACCGAAACTAGTTTTACGACCGAAACCGAAACCGAAAACGAATTTCGGCAACGGTGTCTATTTCGGCCGAAACCGAAACCGAAACTTCCTTACAAGGCTCATATTTTTAGGCAAAAATAAAGAAAACGTTATTATAATCAGTCAGTAATTATATCATTAATTTTGTTGTAACCTATGATGATTTGCTTGGCGTCAGCAGCAAATCCTGTCAACAGCCAGCCAACACACAAAGGCAGTTGGCAAATGATCAGGATCAGCTTTCTTCCTAACGTATCCATCATGTAGCCACATACAAGGCATCCGGCTGGCGCGACCAAGGTCAAAACACTGGCTGAAAGTAAAAATCATATCAGGTATATTCAATGCTGAAAAATCCTGACAGACCTCCTTCGGCTGACATTGATTTGGCATAATTATGTCCTGTCTGTAGCACTACTTTGTAGAAATAACTTAATTATTATCACCGGAGTATGCCATGCAGGATTTTTTTAGTGAGTACATGCCTATTACAGAAGGTTATAGAGCATTTCCACCTGAAAATGTAGGTACTCCCATGGTGGTAGGAAAACAACAAACTATCATGACAAAATATTCTGGATGAGAGAACCCTGTATGAGCAAGAAAGATTTTTCTAATGGCTAATCCAGACCGTAAAATATCAAAATTAGAGGTAATAGACCTACTTCAATATAGTTATGGTAGGCCTCTATCACTTTCTTACTTGAATTAACTTATGCACTAACCTATCCAACTCTCATCACTCGTAGTAATTGTAATCGTCGAATTCGCTTCGTTCAACTGCGGTATGGTCACAGCTGGGAAGCCAAACGCCAAGCCAATGCCCACCATGGTGAGGCTCACCCACAAACCATAGCCCAGCTGAATCCACGAGGTCACCGTACAGAACCCAGGGTCAGCTGTGATACTCTCTGACATATTGAGTTCATACTGATGAAAAGTCTTTAGAAGACATTCTAGGATCTGGAATAACTGTAGAAATTAGAAGAACTTGCACTAAAATAACTTTTGATTTATGATTGTTTTGACTTAATTTGTTGATGATTGACAGTAAAGATCACAGAATAAAAATACAGCAGCAAAGACAACATAGGTTATCAAGGAAAAGTTTCCTTTGTTCCTAACTAGATAGTTTCATAGAAATTGAGAACCAATTTATTTAACGCTTCAACTTCAACATCTGATAAAGGGTTTCAACTTCAACATCTGATAAAGGGTTCGGGCTTTTGTGAATGAAAAACGTGGAAAACCAGTCACAAGGACTTTTACACCTTTTTGATACCCATTGTTACTACTGGAGTCTAATCAAACCCGCGTTATCTTGTTTGCCAAACACACGCCTACTGGCAAAATATTGGCCATGAATTGGCTAGTTTGCCTTTATACTCGAGTTATTACTATTATACTGGTGGTGGTTAACGTTGGTCTCACGAATATTTTGAAAAAACCTGATATGAAATCAATCCGTAAGTACTTACTTAAGTATCTTATTTGAGAAAAGTCTACCTATCCTTTCAATATCCTTTCTGAAACAAACGAAATTCAAAAGGAAGCCTTTGCTTTTAGAGAGGAGGAGAAATGAAAGACTTTTATAAAAGTTTGATAACTCTGAAATCCCACGAATAGGAAAAAGAAGGCCTTGGACTCTACCTACATTAAGTATTTTTATACATCTCATCCGCTTTGCAGTACCACTTAATTAAATGGTGGAAGTACTGGCTGAAAAACCATTGTTCTCAAGATCTCCTCAATCATTTTCAGCACCTTCCCGCATTGCACTACGAGAAGGGATAGAGTTCAACGCTATATCCCGTGGCACACTGCTGAAACTCCTCAACGCCATGGAAGAGAACATCCATGGGAGAGTCCGTGGAGGGAAGCGGGCAGTGTTCACGGCGCAGTTCGCAAATAACAAGCACACGCGGAAATTCGTTTATCCTGAAGCTTATGGTGGATGAAATGGACATGGAGAAATAAGTTTTGCTTTGTAAAGTTTTTGACTGAAGTTTTTGGTAAAAATACTTAGGTAGGTAAGTAATGGAGAGAAAACAATTTTTTTTCGTTATTGAAGTTAACTATCAAACATAAGGGATTTTTTTTTAATTCGACTATTTGCTGTGTGAGAAAAAGAGAGCTAAAAAAATAGTTGAGTTCCGATTTTATGCTTCTTGTACTTTTTAAAACACTTTTAACACGTTTCTCTTTCTAGTGTATATTTATGTAGTTTCCACTTAAACCCTACCTTAAATTCTGTTCTTTCTTAATTATTTTCAGGAAAAAGAGAAGTAATGAGAAAAATACTTCTTAAAATCTTAAACAAACATTTATTCAGAAAATATTTTCATTCAGTTTTGTATAATTTATCTAAAATATTTTATTCTATTCTACAACACTATCACAAATGCTTCCTTAAAAATAACTTATTACATTTGAATTAAATCTCCTATTAATAAATAAGTAACAACATTAACATTGAAATGCTTTCATATAATTTGACTAAAAGCCGCATTTTCAATAAATTTTAATCTCAACAGATCTTTTATAAATTTAGATTATTTTTACATTTTCCGTAAATCAAAAAGCAAGGGCAAAGAACTCAAAAAAATCAAATTATTGTGAATATTATAAAGAATATTTAAGTAAACATTTATAATATTATACAAATAAATAACTATAAACTTTATCTCATAAAAATATAAACTGTACTTATCCTGAATCTGTAAAATGGCACAAAATATTTCAATATTATGACACTGTGACTTATATTTAATAACAATTATGTACAAAATACAGTACCTACGAGTACTGACTGTGATATAAATTATATTCAATACTTTTATACATTTAGCTTTAATACTTCTGAATTTGACACGGTTAAACATCTTTTTACGTATATTTTTCTACCTACTTGTTTCTAAAAGCGAAAATGGTAACTATAAAAATACATTATCTCTTTTTAAGGCACTTATAATAAGGTACATACATGTCTTATTTACCTACAGTACCTACTAAAACTTTAATAGGTGTTCATGATTTATTTTGTGACAATATTCTCACAAATGCTCCTAAGGAATCCAAAATGATGTTTGTTTTACAAAATAATCTCTGAAATATAAAAATAAGATCTAAGCCACATCACAGCTTGACAAAAATGCTTTGTACGATTTAGATAAATATTTTGGACTTGTTTAAACTTTACTAGATAATTACAGGGTTGTCAGTTGAAATTACATGGTGATTTTGGTTTTAAACCCGACTCTACATTTACGAGTAGGTAAGCACTTCTATTTAATAAACTAGTGTAAAATACAACATTGAGCGAAAAGTCACTACTGTAGCAGCATCAATGCAAACGCGTTTTTATACGCATGCAAGTTAGAGGATATTTTCTCCCCTAATGTATCAGAAGCTTAATACAACAAAAAATAATTGTTTTAAAGCAATATTACTGTTCTTGAAAGATGAAGAATCGTGTCACGTCTTGCATAGCTCGCCTCTACATCTATCTATATCTATGAAAGCGAAAAGTCACTGACTGACTCACTCATCACGAAATCTCAGAAACTACAAGACCTAGGAGTCTCAAATTTTGCATGGAAGTTCCTTTTTCACTAAGACGGGACTTTGCAAAATTCAACCCTTAAGGGGGTAAAACGGGATCTACGCGTACGAAGTCGCGGGTGGCCGCTAGTAAATAAAATATTCAACAAAACACATAACCAGTCACTCTGCTAAGTTGTCACTTCTCACGCTTTACTCGTAGTATCCGTGATTGACGCTTTTTTGAGGGTTTTCGTTCTGCCGCAGAAGTAATCTTCAATCTCTTGGAGAGTTCTTCCTTTCGTTTCAGGGAGGAAGAAGTAGTAGAATACTGTGCCTAGAGACAAAAGTAATTAATTATTGAACTGTTAAAATTGAGGTTATGCTTACGACAAGATAGGTCCTTGAATCAATATGGAGTCACAACAATCTAGTGTCAACCCAAGTGATTCAAAGCTGCAATATGTTGACAGAGAGAGCACCACTACACTACTCTGGGAATCGAACCCAGACAGAACCCAAGTGAAATCTAAATATATATCAACGTGAAATTGTGAACTCTGTCAGTTTATAATATAACGCGTTAGATTGTAAACTAACAGTGGGTTAGTTAAGTTAGATTGTAATTTAACTACGTCAGATTATAATCTGACGGAATTCACAATTTTACGGTGACATATATAACTCAAAGGTGACCGACTGACTGACATAGTGATCTATCAACGCATAGCCCAAACAACTGGAGGGATCGGTCTGAAATTTGGCATGCAGGTAGATGTTAAGACGTAGGCATCCGCTAAGAAAGGATTTTACGAAACTCTACCCCTAAGGGGGTAAAACGGGATCCACGCGTACGAAGTAGCGGGCGGCCGCTTAGTGTGTAAAATTTATGTTTACTTACCAACTATCGACATACATCCGTACAGGGCGAAGACACCGTAGTCGTTGAGCGCGCCCTTCAGCAAATTGAAGGTTTTCACGACCGAGAACACCGACAAGTGCGCTGCACACGTCGTCATGCCACCCACGATCCCACGGACCTGGAATGTAACGTAACATTATCGTAATGTATCGTAGCGTATCGTATCCTATCGTAGCGTAATGTATCGTAGCGTAGCGTATCGTAGCGTATCGTAGCGTATCGTAGCGTAGCGTATCGTAGCGTATCGTAGCGTATCGTAGCGTATCGTAGCGTATCGTAGCGTATCGTAGCGTATCGTAGCATATCGTAGCATATCGTATCATAGTGCCGTAGCGTATCGTAACGTATTGGAACTTATGATAAAGACTCTATTCTGGGAATATTATCAGCGAGGTAGACCAAAATAAATATTCCATTTCTTTTAGTGAATAAGAGAGGGGGTGCTCCTGCAGTAGATACTTAACATCCTGTTAATGTTGATGATGACCTCTCCGTTCGTTTCAGCCAAATGACGTCCACTGCTGATCAAAGGCCTCCCACAAGGTTTTCCACAATGAACGGTCCTGCGCTGCCCGCATCCAGGTTCTTCCCGCGACTTTTACCAGTTCGTCGGCCCACCTAGTAGGAGGCCCGTGGTCGCCACTCGAGAACTTTTCTGTCCCAACGGCCATCGTCTCTACGTGCTGTTCCCCGCCCACTGCCACTTAATTTTAGCAATTCTGCGAGCTATATCGGTCACTGGTTCTCCTGCGGATCTCCTCATTTCTGATTCGATCACGCAGGGAAACTCCGAGCATAGCCCGCTTCATTGCCCTGAACAAGTATGATCTCTTATTGAGTGTAAATATTTACCTGCGTAGGATAAACTTCGCCGATCATCACCCACGGCACGATCAGGTAGCCCAGGGTGCAGGAAATGGTGAATAGGAAGATGGCAGCCACTGGAATCCAGGAGTGCATGGGCGGCTCGTTATTAGCTCGCCACTGCGCCACGAGGTACATGTATACAGCCAGCACTATCATGGTTGTGCCACATCCGATTGCTGGAAGGAGCCAGAAATGGTCCATATTAAAAGGAATGAAGATTCCAAACTGCTGCTGATCTTTCGTAAGCTGAATTAGTCTTTTACTGCTTTTGTCTCTCATCCTAAAACTAATGCCAGTATCAGAGCTTTCTTGTGGAAAATTACACTACGTTAGCCAATGTTTGATATAATTATGTAGATATTATAAAGTACCTAGGTACTAGTTATAATATGGAATGCCTCGCTGGTTAATTTAATTTATTAGGAAAACGAGAAACTCGACTCTCGCCAAAAAAGTCAGTCGTTAAAAATAGGTACCATAGGTAGTATTGATTTAGATTTGACTAATTCAAAATAGGATGTATTTCTAAAACTTACCAGAAACAAAAGTGAGCGGTCTGCGTCCACACCTCCTGCACAGGATGCAGCCGATGACGGTGAATATCACCCTGATGATGCCCATGGAGATCGTCAGCCAGTACTTGTTCAGGGTGGCTCCTGATGCCTGATGAAATTGAAAGGAGTTTAACAGTGTAACAGGGTATTTTAAGATTATGGGTTTGTAAGAGAAAGTACTTTGAGAGAGTCACTCAACCTGCGTTGTAAAAGTCATGAAGGTATAGTATCTTGATATCAGAATAGATTTCTTGTGAGTAGATAGATAATTCTTGTAGTAGTAGGTAAATAACAAGATTTATAAAAATATGGAAGCAAAGTACAAACTCTAGCCACTAAGACTTCACTCGCGCAATAAATAAAAAAATAATGTTAAGAAACATTAAATTTTCAGTGACAGGTAAGTTTACGGGTATACGCTGTATGTGTTGATTGCTATTTTTCAAGGAGTCCTACATAACCTGGGCTATTCCCACTACAGCAAGTATTTTAAACCATTTCAAAAGAACCCTATTTCTTACTAATATCACACTCCATAGGCCCTGCATCCAATATTAATCTGAAACTATAGCTAGCTTGTAACAAATTATACTCACTTCAAACACTTCAACGGCGTAGAAGGTGATCGTGTTGACACCGCACCACTGGTACAGGAAGAAGTAGATCGCGAGGATGCTGAAGGGCTTCAGGGCTGATGGTGACAAGAGCGCCTTGATGATCTCTCTGGGAGTCCTCAGGCTGGAAGAACAGAAAGTTATCGTCAATGATTATTATTATGTTCATTCGTTCGTTTTAGCCAAATGACGTCCACTATCGGACAAAGACCGCCCCCAAGTCCTGTGCTGTCTGCATCCAGGTATTTCCAGCGAGCTGCAGATTGTTTGTCCACCTACCTACGTGGGGTAAAAGCGAATGTGTGGCCTGAATAAGCCAGCGGTGTCGAAATTGGACTATCGATTCGAGATTGAAGAACGCTAGACAAATCACTAACTAGTAGACACCTATCTATTGAACCTTAAAAAATTAAATTGCTAAAATAAATCTGCCGACTGTTAAAATGGTACAAAATAAACCGTATGATTTGATTAATAAGCCGTGCAAGATGTTGGACCTAAATAAATTACTACATAATAGCACACCTCTAGTTGATTCCATGTTAATTCAATTAAGTTAGGATTTACCTTATAAAATTTCATCAGAATAAATGAACTTTGTTGTTTATCGACAAGACCTATGAGAGGATAATGCAAATGCATCACGTATTATAATTATTCCGTACTTACGCTGCACTCTACAGTTTGCCCTGACCATTCACAAGGCGTTTTCAATGAACGATTTGACTTTCAAGGACCAAAGGAAAAAGCGTTTCATGAATTATACAAATTCATTGAAACTAATTTGTTGTTTGCCAAAATTACAATTTAAGGAAAATGTGTTGATTGAATTTCACATTTCGTTGAAGGTAATATGAATAATTCAGTAATGCACAAAATAGTGTAGGTGCACGACGCACGTGCATCTCATAATTTATTGATTATTATCATACTATGACCCTCCCTCAAAACCATGGTCTGTTATGAACTTAACTGAGCTATGTAACGTTTGTGTTATGAGTGATAACAATGATATCGATGTGCTATGGTCACCTTAACTAATAAGTTATTTTTGCACATTCTTTTGTCCTATCACAGAATATCTATTTATTTATATTAAAGGTATTACTCGTACTTGAGGTGGCAGGTATTTTATTTATTACTTCATGGCACATTAACAGTATTAATACACTAAATAGTTAACACGACAGGTACTCGTAAATGCATTTCTTGAGAAGCCGTATGGAATAAAAATGTGTTTGTAATGAATAAGTTTACATAAATTGATAAGAACGTGTTTGGAAATGGCGCCATAACAAGATTATTATGCACAATTGCACATAATGTACGTACATACTTATGAAAAACTTAACTATCCTCAGTGGCACCACCTTAATTTTAACCCTAACTATTACTGGTGTTTTTGTATAGAGCTTGACACTTTTTACGTTTGTTACAGTTAAAGTAAGGTTAGGAATCACATATTCATGATCCAACGATACTCACGGTTCAACATGATTCTTCTCCTTAAAGTTGACCATCTTCTGGATCTCCTCATCCAAGTCAAAGGTGGACCCCCTGAGCTTGGCCAGGGAGTTCTTGGCTCTATCAGCCTTGTCCTGGGTGAGGAGGAAGTTGGGCGTCTCTGGCACCAGGAGCATCGTCAGGAATGACAGCATGGGGACGGAAGCGCTGATGCCAGCTAGTATGTGCCATGGTAGCGCGCTTCCAAGCACGTACTGGAATAAATTATTATGACATTAGTCTTACTGGTTCGTCTTTAGAAAAAAAATCGGCCTAGGAAAAAGTAGCTAGTTCAACATGAAGTTATAAAAATTATTAAATCCAAGAGAGTAGAAAAGACCGCCCGCACTTATCCCGTGGATGTCGCAGTATTTGACTAAACATAGAGATATATGTACCAATGCGAACATGAGACTTAATAAAGGTAGCAGGAAGGCGCTGGATGCTGGCCGCTACCAACCAAATTAGAGAATCTATTGGGGGAGGCCTATGTTCAGCAGTGGACGTCCTATGGCTGAAATGATGATGATGAATGGCTAGCGTGGGGAGTGGAGACTAAATGACCTGATGATGATGATCTCAAGTAACGATGACTCTACTTAAGAATAATGAACTGAAAGATCGTGGAAAAGATTTTTTTTATCCACAACGAGGAAGCTCTTGGCCTGTATCTCACCTGATGGTAAGTGACGATCAGGCCGAAGGTGGAAGCGAGCTTCACCCGGAATCCTCAACCACGGAGGAACTGGCTATCTTGCCTCTAACCGCCGGAACACAATAATGCTGTTAACATTGTTGTTATGGCGACAGACTTAGGTAAGATGGTGGTAGCTAGCCAGGCGGACTTAGAACAAGCCCTACCACCAACCAAACCGAACAGAAAAATCTGCCCCCACAGGGAATCGAACCCGAGACCTATGCGTCTGCAGCAACGGCGGTTTAAAGATATTTCCATGCCGCAAATACGTTTTACCTACTAGTGTCATCCATCCATTAACACTTCATCTGCTGACAACTCCAGCCCACAAGTGACGACCGCCAATACATTACGCAAAACTAAATATTACGCATGATGTTGTTGTTTGTCGTCTACACTTGACACATCTAATTCTGGAGAGCCAACACAGATGCTTTTCAATTATCTGATATCACGAGCTGATAACGAAGTAATCGCTTCCGAGTAATTACATCGTGAACCGCGAGTTATAGTAATCTATTTTTGAAAGCAAATGTATAGAATTTGTGTAAATATTTTGCAACAGCTCGAAAAGACGACTTTTAAGGCTGTGTGTTAAATGTACGCTTAACAATCTGGCATCTTATTTTGTTATAATATGAGCGAATTTGTGAGTCAGAAATTATGTGGTCTGGTATGCTGTCGTGATTGTATCTACGTGTCTTTTTTAAACTTAAGTTAGTCTTACAAGAATGACCAAAAGGGTCATTCAAAACCCAAGATTGATTTATCAATCAATAGAGTCATAATATGTATTTATTTACTTATTTATTTTTATTAAAATCAAGCTATGAATTCCCAGATCTTCACTTAGATTTAATGTGCACAGGTGCCTTTCAAGCTATTTATTCAATTTAGTAAGTTGATAACAACATTAATCATGTAATACAGTCCATTGAAATAGTTTACTCTACACTGAAGGACCGAGATTTACCTTTAAAGTGTGAATTACATGCGTTACTTGTTTATTATTTACTTTAGTGACGAACAATGTGTATAAATAGAAATACAAATATTGTTCGACTTAGTTTATTTGAGTAGTGAGAAAACAACTAACGTTTACTTTAAAACTTAGTTTATGTTGTTTAGGAAAATTGTGGGACACTTTGCTTGATGATTCAATTTATTATTTTGTTTATTATGAATAGTTGTTATTACTAACTAGCGGCCGCCCGCGACTTCGTACGCGTGGATCTGGGTTTACCCCCTTCATCTATCTTACGCCGCTTACGCGGTTTAGATTTTTTCATACAAAAGTTTTTTCCCGCAAACTCCCGTTCCCGTGGGAATTTTGCAATATCCTGTTGTAACTAAGCTTTAAGTTTAATAAGATATCTGCATGCCAAATTTCAAGCGACTAACTTAAGCGGTTTAGATTTTTCATACAAAAGGATTTTCCCGCTAATTCCCGTGCCCGTGGGAATTTTGCAATATCCTGTTGTAACTAAGCTTTAAGTTTACTAAGATACCTGCATGCCAAATTTCCAGCGTCTAGCTTAAGCGGTTTACACTTTTCATACAAAAGGATTTTCCCGCTAATTCCCGTTCCCGTGGGAATTCCTTATACTTCTCCTTCATATTCAGTATACTTATACTATAACCTGCCCAGGAGTACGAAGAATAATTGTACCAAGTTTCGTTAAAATCCGTCGAGTAGTTTTTGTTTCTATAAGGAACATACAGACGGACAGACAGACAGACAGACAAAAATTTTACTGATTGCATTTTTGGCATCAGTATCGATCACTAATCACCCCCTGATAGTTATTTTGAAAATATATTTCATGTAGGTACAGAATTGACCTCTCTACAGATTTATTATTTATATAGATAAGTTACTTTAGATACGGATGAAACTACAATACTATTGGAAAAACCCTTTCTATCACTTTTCTTGATTACAAGTTCCTGAACCAGTACCTATTTCACATTAACTAATGTTTCCCACGGAATAAACTTTGTTAAATTTATTTTGAGCTCTACCTATTGTATTAGTGTGTGTAATTTTAAACATTGTAACTCTTTAATACCTTATTTAGTAACGTATTGTGTATACTTCTACATAAATTATCCAAATGGAAAATTTCTAAAAATATACTTTGAAGCTAAATTAAGAAAAGCTTGTTTTTCCATTAAGGGCATGAATCTGCCACGAAGTGAATGTAAGGCCGACTTGGAAAACTTGTTAGAATATATCCAGTTGAAGTAATTTGGAACGCAAATTAAGCATCATTCGTTAATTTATAGGTTACTTATTTCACATTTTCGCAATATTGTCTTATACCTAATCTAAAATATCATAGAGACTTACTGATTTTAGAAACTAAGGCATAAAATTATACTTAAATGGTGACAATATCCCTATCACGTGCGTGTGTTGAGAATTAAAGAGTTTCCTCTCTATGGATAAAAAAAAATTTAGCCAAAACAGTGTTAACCAACAATTTTGACATCTTAATTTTCGCATGTGTGTGGCTGAAACCAGTATAGGCCTGATATCGTGATTTTCAGCAATTTTTCCATGACACTACATCACAATTATCACGACTGCGCTGGTACTAAGCAAACTGCGTTGGATTTTTCCGGCATAAGACTATTTTTGACAAACGACGCATTTAATTTTTAAGTTTATGTGAGGAATATACCTTGTTAAAGTAACTTAAATAGGCTTTTTGTCAATACGAGAAGCTACAATTAACTGTTCTTAGTATACCTATGTAAAACGAATTATCTTTATATTTTTAGCTCTAAAAATTGCCCTCTATTTTGATACATAAGTTCGTTTTCGTAATTGAGTAAAACTGACTGATAGAAAGGATATAATTTAATAATAATATCATTATTATGTCTATTTAGCACAGGAATTGAAGATTAAACTGTCTGTTAAAACTTTACCGACTTGAATTCCAAACTAGACTTAATAATGAGTATTATTTGCATAAAATTTGATCGATTTTCATACCCAATCTACATCCATTAATTTCCCAGTAAACTGTTACAAATCGATTCGTCACGCCAAATAACACGCAATAGCTAGTGAACAACTAATAATTGAATATGTAAATTGTGTTAATTTGTGAATTCGAAACAATGTGAGCACACCTCCATCGTCACAGTGACGTCTCTGCCGATTCGGACGCCATAATTAGGAGCGCAGGATGCGCAAGCGATGCGTGGTGACATGTGATCTATTACGTTCACCCTTGATAACTAATTTGCTAAGTCATTCCCTAAAGACCAAAAAGAGATTGGCAAAAACCCATATACCTACCTACTATCAGTATCACATACAAGTCAGAGCATGGGTGTACGAGAGACCCTTGCGGAAAATTTATTTTCTTACGTCTTCTTCATCATTTAATGTCGACTCTACGTCTCAATTAATAATTATTAATTTAAGAAATAAGATTTTCTTTTGTATTTCACTTTATTGTTATCGTCAGTCTCAACAAAAAGGTTCATTAATAATATTTTGGTATCTTTAATGCTCATTTTAAACGACATAAAGGCCAAAAAGAAAGCTAAGGCCACAAACGGGGTATCTACCCCGGGATATATTGTGCAAAGATCATGTTTTTCTTATTTCTGTCCATAATCATACATTTTCGTCGATGATAAAGAATTTGGTATTTATTTATAACAATTTATTTATTTATTTATTTGTTCATGTTAACTAACCTGTATCAGGACTCCAGTGGACACGCCGACAGAGGCCAGCGCGCCGAGCATCCCTCTCAGATGCGGCTGCGCTACTTCTGCGGTGTATACGCGCGCCGGCGCTCCCACCATGCCTGATCCAAAGCCCACTAGCAGCCGACCTGATGAGGGAAGACTAGTTTAGATGACACATCAAGATACATTGATAAAAAGGATGCACATAGATAGGATCTAATGTAATTTTAGCAGGTGTTGTCTTGCGCTTGTTCCCAACCAGTTACACCAATTCGAAGTGAGCACCTGTTGTGTTGTGGTGAATGTCACCCAAAGGGCGATGGAGCGTGCTATGCTCGGAGTTTTCCTGCGGATAGAATCAGAAATGAGGAGATCCGCAAGATAACCAACATAGCCCGCAAAGTGACCGACGTAGCCCGCAGAATTGCTAAAATTAAGTGGCAGTGGACGGGGCACATAGCTCACAGAGCTGATGGCCAATGGAGCAGAAAAGTTCTCGAGTGGCGACCACGGGCCGGAAGACGAAGTGTGGGCAAATCCCCCACTAGGTGGACCGACGATGTGGTGACGGTCGCGGGAGGTGCCTGGATGCGGGCGGCGCAGGACCGGTCGTTGAGGAAATAATTCAGCCAAATTGGCTGAAACGAACGAACAATGTGACTGGTTGGGAACAATCGCTATTTTGCTTGTCGTCTTTGACTCATATCAAACTTAATTGAAACAAAACAGGCGTTACTATTTATAGATTATCTTACAAAATATGTTTACAGTTTAGTACAGTTATTTAAGTGGAAACTCCCAAAAATATAAGAAAAACAAACACCTGTTTGCGCTCCTTGATAAGAAACACTTTTACTATACTATTTTAACGTCATTGAAACAGTTAAAAACACTTATAAGGATACTTGTCGTCTAAAGCGGAAAAGTTATATTTAAATCGCTAAATGTTGTTCCGATTTTTAGAACCATTCACAATTACTTATACCTAAGCTAACCTAACCTACACAGAAAGTATTAGGTTAAGGTAAAAATACAACCATATTAAGGTACCAGTGATGTAACCCAAAATATAGAGAATACTCGAACCTCACGACACGGATCGATTCAATCTCGAAGTGGACTAATAAAGCAAACTATAGAAATAAAAATAGACTAGGTACTACAATTTTATATCTCAATATTACAGATCACTCGATTAATACCAAAGTGTACTCGATCAATACTCAAGTGAGTCTGAGTCGCAAAATGTTCATAAGTGGATGGATACCATTGAAATCTTAACAATTTTGAGTCTCATATACTTTAATGTAACTAAATTGTTTACCAATCTTTTGACAATGCTACTTTAATTAGACACATTTATCTAAATAGCTATAATTTTCCAGGAATTCTTGACGAAAGTGACAAACTATGCTATTTCAAACGAGCAATGAAATCACTGCCAAAATGATGCAATAACTTAGCAATATAAACCTAATGTAGAGTTCATAAACGGTCACATTCGTGCGTAATCATCACGATTTATTTTAATGTGAAGCAGTTACAATGTTGGTACTTCCGAACTAAAACCTCGTTCCGATAAATTAAGTATTTTAACTACTTTCTGCAGAAAAAAGAATAATTGCTAACTACAATGCTAGTAGGTACTAAAGCGGAGTAAGGACAAGCCAGATTTGTTATTTCAGTATCATATCGTTGTCAGTGCCGATTTACTCACCAACATAAATCATAGGAATGTTCTGTGCAAACGCAATCAGTATCCAGCCTATTATGAGGGGTATCTCCGTAACAATCAGAGTCGTTCTACGTCCGATGGCGTCCATGAGGTATCCACTGATGATGCACCCCATAGGAGTCCCCGCTGCGCTGAGACTGGCTGCAATTTAAAAATGGAAACACAAATTGTTAGTGTTTTGTTTTTTTAGTCATATTTTCACATTATTAGAGTAACATTTTCAAATGAATAACACTTTTCATAGCCGTCTTTTGTTTTTTATTTGTCAGAACTAATACGTTTTGCGTTGGCTTTTGTTTTGCACTGTGCCAAAAGTATTTGCTTTCAGTGCAAGTGACTGGACAACCGTAGCTAAATGTGTTGCAATCGTAGTTATAATAGAACACATTAATGGAAACATATAAAGAGAATAGCATGTAATCGGCTACTTAAACAAACCGAAACTCTACTGAAAGAGATTTTGGCAGGTTCGTTCGTTCGTTCGTTTCAGCCAAATGACGTCCACTGCTGGACAAAGGCCTCCCCCAAGGTTTTCCACAATGAACGGTCCTGCGCTGCCCGCATCCAGGCTCTTCCCGCGACCTTTACCAGATCGTCGGTCCACCTAGTAGGAGGCCTGCCCACGCTACGTTTTCCAGCCCGTGGTCGCCACTCGAGAACTTTCCTGCCCCAACGGCCATCGTCTCTACGAGCTATGTGCCCCGCCCACTGCCACTTGATTTTAGCAATTCTGCGAGCTATGTCGGTTACTTTGGTTCTCCTACGGATCTCCTCATTTCTGATTCGATCACGCAGGGAAACTCCGAGCATAGCCCGCTCCATCGCCCTTTGGGTGACCTTGAGCCTTCTTATGAGGCCCATAGTAAGCGACCACGTTTCGGATCCATATGTCAACACTGGCAACACACACTGCTCGAAGACTTTCGTCTTGAGACACTGCGGTATTTCGGACATGAGTATATGGCGAAGCTTTTGGCAGGTATTATTACAGAAAATAAGCATTTCCCTGTATTCCCTTTATCGTGTAATGCTCATATTTTATGTCCTTAGGTTTCCTTTCGTTCGATTCCACTATGTAGGATATGAGTGTGAGAACGTAAGGATGTGTGAAAGAGAAGGAAGAGTGTGTGAGTGTGACGTACGACGACGTGTATACGAACGACGATTGTATTAGATTAGTTACTATTTATATTATTTTCTATCACGAGCAAATAAATACGTGGGAATTAGAACCGCATTTCAATTCCTACAACAATTTTATTTGGTATCTCTATCTGCTAGCTGTTTTCGTTAAGTTGGCAGATAAATATTTTTATTTGCAAAAAATATCCTAACTGACTAGGTATGAGTAACTTTTCAGCAAGTAGCTCTGAAATTGGCTAGCAATTTTGAGGTTAATCTAATGGTCGAATTATACCAGAAAACAAAGAACAAACTTACCAATCCAACTGGCTTGATCGTTCGTAATATGTATACTAGACTCATTGCTCTTAAGTTGAGGCAGTGCCACCGCTGAGAACCCAAATGCCATTCCAGTGTTGATGGTGCCAAGATTGGCAATCAGGGCTGCCAAGACCTGCCTAAAGGCCTTCCCTCTGGCAGCCTTGGCAGCGGCCTTTGTGGAATCCTTCTGCTTCTTCGTGTCGTCCTTGCTGATGACTGGTTTGGTCCCATTCTGGATGAAGGGGGTTGCGTCGGTTCTGGAAAGAAAGTGTTTTGTTAGGGGCTTCAAAATGTTTTAGGTCAGCTTCATCGGTTCATGATGATGCGAATAACAATAGCTAAATGCTTTGGACAACAAGAATAACTTCATCTGAAAATACAGTTATAACTTGGTGGAGAAGCCCCCCTGATGTCATGACCGTGGCTACTTAGCATTGCTTACAAGTTTTGGCCGAGTTGCACCATCTTATTTTGACTTTAACAAACGTCAAAAATCTGTCAAACTCCATACAAAAAGCACCGGCTATTGTTAAAGTTACAGTCAAAGTAAGTTGGTGCTCAACCTTAGTTTTTTAAAGAAGATAAATACAAATTACTACCGTCTGCTTCTTATAAATAAGTAACGTTTAAAAGCTCTATTCATGCATGCCCCAAAAATATTTTTAAATAATAAAATCAGCGTCCAAGCAGATTCCATTTCTAAAAATAAAACGTAAACAAAAATATTTTTATCAAAGTGATAAAATATGCAGCGTCCACCATTCACGCCTATACGGCCAACAAAATGTCCACTTTAAATTCACGTTAAATAACCTACTCAATATTCGATAGCACATCGCGGAATTAATTTGCAATCATTATTTTTAGGTCTCGGTCAAAATAGCCTAGGCATTGAAAATTTTCCGATTTTGAATCACTTTTCCTTGTTTTGACCTTTTAACTGATCGTAATTTTTCCTTTAGTACCCTGTTGTAAGGTCCCATACAATATTTCAGATGAGCTTAATTAAAACAACATGGCCGTATTCAAGTTCAGTCTTGAAAGTCACAATAACTTACGATTTTGACTTTATTGTAAGTGACTTTTGTACGAATGATATACGTTTTTTTTGGTCATGTGAAAAAAGGCTCTCCTCAAACTTTCACTTTTTATTAGACTGCTTTCACTAACGGGATCGTTAAGTTACATTTATGAGTTAAATCTTATTTTTCCTTAGCATTTACCGAAATACAAGTTATTTCTATCGAGCTATATCAGACGCCTATCTCATGCGTATCCTTCGGTATATATCATAGTTTAAGATTCCACCAAGGCGGGAACGGAGAAGTGTCGGGCGGATGGAATTTTTCTATAGAATTTTTCAGCGGCGGTGGTGCGGTGCGGAGAGAAGGAAATAATATCTGATTGGTTACTTATTCAAAATGCTCTGCTCCGCTTTGATGGAAACCGGTGCTTACTCATAGTCGTAGAGCAGGGCTGGGACCTTAGCTGTTATACGATAAAAANGATAAAAATGAGAATGAGAGGACCTTCTCATTATATCCTCATAAAGTACCAATTTAATAGATTCCTTGTAAGTTTCCGCACGATCTAGCTTTTACGATGACTTCTTTTACAACCGTGTTTATAACGATAAGTATCAATGAATAAGCAGATTATTGTGATAAATGAATAGCATAATGGTGTTAGGGTTATCGTGCCGTTATCCTCAGATAAGAAGGTGAGCATCGTAACCCTGTCCGTTGCATTCCGGCTTTAGACATTGTTTTTTATTGCCGATGTTGTTATGTTTATTTATTATTGATATCTTATACAGACGTTCAGGGTTTATTTTTGGAATTCGGTCAAGATGCTCAATCAGGAATTAATAAATTCCAAAAATAGCGCTTTATAAGAAGGATTAAAACGGCAGTATTCAACAGTAGTTGTAAATACTTAAAAGTCTATAATTGGACCCGGTAAAAAGGTAAGTAAACTCAAAAATGGTATTTGTTTAGATGTACATTATACATGTTGATGTTTAGATATACATAATATAGATTCGGTCTTGTTTTCGTTCCTCTACAGTAATGTACAAGACTTTACCGAATCGATATCGCATAACTAATTATATTGTCTGCAACTAGGTACATTAGCTTACGGAAATAAAGGTTTATACCTTCTGCCAAGTTCCGCGACAATCCGCAACATTATTATTCTTTGGCTTCTGCATACCTACTGCAGATAGATAACAAACAATAGTAAAGATGATTAATCTTCTAGGTAAATATTTAAAACTCAAAGGTGACTGACGCACTATCAACGCACAGCCCAAACCACTGGACGGATCGGGCTGAAATTTGGCATACAGGTAAGTAGATGTTATGACGTAGGCATCCGCTAAGAAAGAATTTTACGAAACTTCACCCCTAAGGGGGTAAAACGGGTTCCACGCGTAAGAAGTCGGGGGCGGCCGCTAGTCTATGATATTGTGTAAGCGAAGGCACATTAAAAAGAAACTGTGTTATTTTATGCAGTTTTAATACGTACGAAGTTACAAAAATATGACTCTACATTTTATAATAAAAAAAGCTTATTGTATAGTTGCTACAATAAAGGTTATGTTAAGTCTCCCTTCTTGTTAAAAAGTACAGTAGTGTAGTCTCATTTCCTAAGTTAAAAAACTGTTATTTTCCAAGATTATCTACCCCACACCGACATAGTATGTGTTATAAACAATATGCCTATCATTTTTTTCGCTTTAATTTAAACAAACGCTATCGCTCTTTGTTATTGCAATTCTTATCATACCTAATAATTTATAATGAGACAATTTGAAGAGCTTAAAAGAATTTCAACTGCTCAAATAAATAATTAGGGAACAGTCTGCTAGTAAAAATGAAGAAAGAACAAAAAAATGCGTTTTAAGCTGTTAAAAAAATAAGTCGTATACAATTAGGCTCATTTGCACCACCTAACTTTAACGGCTACTATAACGATGACCGGTGCTTTTTGTATGGAGTTTGACAGATATTTGACGTTTGTCAAAGTTAAAATAAGATGGTGCAACCCAGCCTTAGTGTACATTTTCAAATTAAGTACTCTTGTACTTATCACAGTGACATGGTTTCTAAATATTAGTGACACGCATATATAAGACACAATCAACACTAGGAAATAACTATGGTAACTTATGCGATTCCTAAATATTTAGGCTATCTCTATGTTAAGTGAAAATGGCAATGCACAAGAATTTTAAGGCTCGTTTGCACCATTTTATACTTTAACAATAAGAAGTCAAAAATCTGTCCAACACTTTACAAAATAAATAAAAAGTAAAAAAACTAAAACCCAACTACGACAAAAAACGACGCTAAAAAAGTATAAAACAAGATTTTCAGAATACTGAACTGAACAAAGTTGCAAATGTAGTTGCATAGTAATTTTCATGTTTGGAAAACCGCAGTCACACGTTGTCAAAGTGCTACGGTACGTAGGTATATGTAACGTGTGCATGCCTTTCCAAACATAAAAATTACTATGCAACTACATTAGCAACTTTGTTCAGTTCAGTATTCTGAAAATCTTGTTTTATACTTTTTTAGCGTCGTTTTTTGTCGTAGTTGGGTTTTAGTTTTTTTACTTTTTATTTATTATTTGTACCAATTTGGTGTTAAAGTGTATTTGTGGCGCATAATATTAACAAAAGTTAAATTGATGAACTAATAAGTAGTAAAGAAGCAATGAACGAAAAGATGTGAATTATATGCAATCAGCCCATGAATACAGGTAAAGTCACAAGCAAATGCTAGTAATATATATATATTCAAAATGTACAAGTAAAGCGCTTTCAAATGATACCAAACACGGCATATTTATCTTAACTTTATTTTTTTACTATGTATGTCAAATTCTGATAAGTAGTTTAGAAGTTACGAGGGAACAGATGAACATACATACATACATACATACATACATACATACATACATACATACATAGCCTGTCAAAATCATAACCCTCCTTTGGCTTTGCCGTAGTCGGGTAAAAACTACCGGTTATCGTTATAGTTAAGGTTAAAGTTAGGTGGTGCGATTCAGCTTTTCACCTTCGTATAACGTCTAGCAAAAAAAATGTGTGATACAATGTGAACAACAGGGACTTATACTATACATTGATATCTTCTAATCGAAATCGAATAATATACATATAGGTATCGGTAGGCCAAATGCCCACGAGATATTAATTGTTTTGCCTAATATTCAATGATCACCACGAAAACACGTGCTACTATAGAGATAATATTATGTAATTATTATGCCGGCCCCGATGAATCGATAGTAAAAATCTATTGACGTCATTCATGAGTATTATTGTGTGTTTATTTGTATAAGTATCTTTTGCTTTAATAGGTTAATTAAAGTTATCTATAGAAGGTGGGATACGGCTGTTTAAATTAACAAGATTAATCCGTTCATAAACATAACTCAGACACGTTTACTGAATAAGAAAATAGGCCTGACCTGCGGGCATTATTGTTAAACAAGTTACATTTTTCTTTTATTGTTAAAGTTTTGCCACTGAAAACACACTTTTTAGGGTTCCGTAGCCAAAATGGCAAAAACGGAACCCTTATAGTTTCGTCATGTCCGTCTGTCCGTCTGTCCGTCTGTCCGTCTGTCCGTCTGTCCGTCTGTCCGTCTGTCACAGCCGATTTACTCGGAAACTATAAGTACTACAGTGATGAAATTTGATGGGAATATGTGTTGTATGAACCGCTACAAAATTATGACACTAAATAGTAAAAAAAAGAATTGGGGGTGGGGCCCCCCATACNCTCAAAACAATATCTGAGCAGTTCTCAATTTTTAAGCACCTCTCAAATTAAGTTGCACTCAAACGCCACTTAAATGAATTTTCGCATACTGAAACGCCATTCAACGCTAAGCATTACTCAAACAACTGTCAAATCGTCTTAAGCAGCTGTTAAATTTGAGAGTGCTTGCGCGGTATCTTAAATCCTATTCTTATACCTAAATCGACCTAAATAGTGGTAAATAATGTGTGTCATCGTTATCATTTCTTTCGAGCCTCGAGGAAATACCTAGATCTAATCGCAGGAACGCAATAAGGCTGAACGCTATTGAAAAATATTATTATAATGACATGCAATTCCGAGCGAGGTTCCGCGTCTCTAAAGAAACGGTGTTGTTTCTGGATTCATAATTTGGAAGCTCTTTGAAACCCCTCACCAAATGCCATACAACCAGTGGACCAAAT